AATGTCTTTATGTGAGAATAAAATGTTTTAACTTTTAGATCACGATAAGAACATACAAATGCAGATTATAAATAAAACATTATTTTAATAGAACTTCTTTATTTTTTTTCTTACAATTAGTTAGAAATCTTTAATTTATCAGCGGCACGCAAGACAAAATATATTAGATCATCAATTCCATTTCTATAAGAGTTTCTTTTCTTTGTGGTAACTTTATGAAAGATAGTACTTAAAAATTAAAGTATAGATGTGGGTGAACCCGTATGCAACTGGATTAGCTCAAATGTCGAGGAAGATTAATCGCGTGAGAAATGTCATGGATCGACACCTCTTTTCTGTGAAATTTATCCAACAGATGATGCGTTTATTAGATTTTATTCATGAACCTTTTTCTGAGAGATAGCAAATCTTTATGTACGGAATAAAGATCTGAAAACAAACGCGATACACTGAAAGTGCATTTCGATAGTGTCTCATGCAGTCATATTAGGATAAACATACGATGCACTTAAGGTCAACGATAACCCAGATTCTCATCTCGTACGGGCTAAACGAGGTCGATCTGTCGGGACAACGTCATCGTCAATTTTTATTACCCTCTATCCAATTCGCGTCGCGCCAACACTGCAGATTTCATTTACGAAAAACAACTGTCAGGATGATATTCATCGAATTGGAATAATCGCACCACGATATACAAACATTTAATTGCTATCACAATACAGTATTAAAAAAAATTATGATATTGCAAAATTGTTGAATCAAGGAAAAAGATAAACTTTTTTATTCTAAATTATTTGTATCATGTAAATTCTTTACTAAAGCAACATAAACATATAACAATGACATTCTTTCTATGACTTGTTTCCACAATAATTTAGAATAAATTTATAAACATTTATTTTTGAGTATCATTAAGTTGTATTTAAATTAAATCACACACATGTGATATATTTTATTTTAAAAATTATATATTATTTTTTATGATATATATATATATATATATATATATATATATATATATGTGTGTGTGTGTGTTTAAAAATAAAATTTAAAAACATATCGATTCACTTAAATTTATGTCTTAATATATGTAAATTATTGCGCACAAATAAAATAAATAAACATTAAATATCTATTTTATTTTTATTACCTGCAACTTGATAATATAACAATTCAATAGAGCATCTCTCAGAAGAAATGAAAATGTATGTAACGATTGCGAAATCGAAGCTGCAGGAGAACTTCCTGGTCACCACGTTAATAATTACAGCTACAACCGCGATGCTTATCCTTTCAATTCTCGACGTAATATGAGAATAATTGACGTGGTTCGTGGAAGAAAATGTTTGCGTGCATTCAAATGACAATGATATCTCTTAAATGTAAACATGTGAAGAACATCTGAAAAATCAGAAAATAAGATAATAAACCGCACACACAAAACAATAAAAAAAAACATCATTTCAAAATATAGGAAGTATTGAAAAAAAACATGATATTGTAAGCAGGAAGAATAAAAAGTTCTACTTTTAAAAAACATTATTTTATATATATTGTCTTCTGGAAAAATTCTTGTATGTCCTTCTTCCATATATTTTTATAAATTTTAATACATGCCTTTTAATTTTTCTAATTTTGAAATTTTTAATATTTTCAAATATTTAGCAATAATATTTTTTGATGACATATAATATATTGTGATAATAAATTTTTAATATATCTTCTAATATATTTTTTTATATATTTCTAATGTTTTTTCCCTTTTTAAGATCGTGATTTTCAATATTTTGCCCTATTCCTTTTATGATATCAGCGATTTGTTTGCCAAAAGCAGAGAGAGCTCGATCTTAGATCGCTGTTCCAACCGAGTGAACACCGGCCGGTGTACATTCAACACCGTGCGACCGTGCACGTTGTTGACCGCAGAAAAAACTCGACACCTTTTACCTTAAACTTGAAACAGCGCGCCGTTGCAAAGAATGCATGTGCAAAATAACAACGTTATGTCGTATTATTTTCTCGACATGTATCAAATTTTCCATGTCCGTCGCTCCTTTCAGTTTCACCATCATAACTCCTCCTCTCTCTTCATGCATGATGTATACTTATTAGATTTTAAAAGTCTCTTCTTCTTAACGTTTATTTATAACACTTTATTTTATAGTACTTATTGATTGAAAAAAATTATATTTTTATTTAGCTTTATTCTGCGAATAAAAAAGATTAACAGTTAATTAAAAAAAGCAAAATTAAAATACTTTTTAATTTTAATTAGCACATGATATCCTTTATTGGGGTGTTAGATATTAAAATTAAAAATGACGAGAAAAAAAGAGGAAAAATTTATATCATAAACATAAATGCAAATGAATATGTCTAGTTACATCGATAACGAAAAAAATAGTATTCCTCAAACTTTTCTCGCCAAAAATATTTACGATAGATTCTATGATGATATCTATGATATCTATGATATCTATAATATCTACGCTATCTATGATATCTGCGCTGATATCTATGATAGATTCTTCCTAGAATTGTTTACCGAATAGCGAACGAGAATTTTCGCATAGCAGATATTTCCGTGTTTGACATTCACTATTATTTCCATCTTTGAGATTATGCGGTAGGAAGATGCAACAGGTGGCCGACGTCGCCAAGCGTAACGCAGACGTTGAACACGACGGAAGAACAGGTACCTATGCATTAAGCGATTATCTTAGATCGGATAAGACTACTCTTTAACAGATAATTTCTCTCTTTTTTTTTCTTAAAACCGTTAAAACTTGTAGTGAGAAGCGCTGAAAAAAGAAAAGTCAGGACGCCTACTTGAAAAAATAAATTTAAAAGATGAAACGAAATTAATTAAAGAAGTCTAATCGTTCTATTAAATTGATCCAACGATCGAAGAAAAAAGCACAGCTTCCAAAAAGTAGTTTTTGCCACGGGAGAGAGAAAAGCGATTATTTTATTAATTTTTCTTGCTTAGCTATAACTTCTTTTTCGATAAAAACATGCAAAAGAATATTCTTTAAAATCAGAAACAAAATATTATAGCAAAATTTAAAAAAATGATTGTACACAGTATTTCATAGATATGCAATTATTATATGTATTTATATGTGTCTTAATCGCAAATCATGGTTGCAAAGTGTGATTAAAAATAATCGAAAATAACGAAAAATTTAGAAAATAATGAAAAATTTTGCTCACAAATTTCATCTTATAATATTTATCTCTCTGCATGCGCTATTTATATCTTACGTCTTTTATCAGTGCTCTTTGATTTCTTTGAAAAGATTCAAAATAATTCACGATGAAGTAAACAAAAATGTGTGAGATTATGTTAATTAATTTAGCGCAAACTACGGCGTAATGTTTGCGCAATGTCAATACGCACTTGTACATTGCACAAATAAATTTTTTTAGCAATAAGATACCTAACAATGTGTGTTAAAACTCAAAGATAAGCGGTCACACACGTTTGAAAGGTTTCTCATCGACGCACTAAGTGGATTGATTAATCGAGTGCAAAGTTAAACGACGCTTACGTCGGAAAGATGTTTCCACGAGACGAGAGAGGAATAAAAAAAATCGTCATAAAATTGATAGATCCATAAGAGAAACGAGATAGTATGCGAAAACACTCTCCGTCTATTTCTCTCTCCTCTGAACTGAACCCTTATCGTTGAACTCACCATGCTGGTCGCGAGAGGAAAACACGCGGCAAGCATATCTTTAACAGTTCGTGTTGCAAACATTTCTGGATTATTACCGCTTCCGCGGAAATTTTAGTTCGTGAGAACTAAAGAGGTAATTTGTCGACCGCGCGCATTATCTAATTACGGAAATTCGGAGTTAAACGTAAAATACTTGCACAGCTATTTATCTATAGTTGCTGCGAATGTGTGAAAAGAATAATAAAGATACTTAACTTTAATAACATTTAATTCGCGTATATTTTTGTTGTACAATGGCATTTTATGTAATTAATTATATAGTAATTGTTTAAACAAATCTTGTGTGTAATATTAGATATTACACATAAGCATGAAAAAAATTACATGCAAATTTATGTCCTAGAATGACAGTAGATTTTCAGAAAATTTAATATTTGATCATATTTTTCAAAAATTTAATGCAAAGATAATGTTTCTCGATATTAGGAATTTAACAAAAAATGTAACGATATAAAAAAATAAGATTTGTATTGGATTTAAAAATTACTAAACTAATTTGCTGAGTGAAATGAGGTTCTCACAGCGGTTTGGTATATACATTTGCATTCCGCAGGTGGGAACCCTATTCCACAATACGTTATGATAATTAGACAACGCTATGATAGATGATCAAACGAATCGACTACCAAAATTTCCATGGCGGTAACTATAGTTTCTATGGTTCACTTCACACCCCTCTCAATCATACGGCCCTACTCATTCTCCCCTTTTGTCAGCGGTCTCGGTTCTTTCCAATCTCTCGCACGTTCCATCGAAGACCGGACACGCACCTGTGTCCCGGAAATACGTAACGTACAGGTGCAGCCACTGTAACGTGCGCACGTTATCTCTAACGTTATTACGAAAGGCCGGGTATCTTGAGGGGATATATTCGGCGATTCATTCCGACGCGCCGCGTCAAATACGCCAGATACCGGGGGTGTCAATTGAACCGGATGGAACAGTTTAACGTCTTTTAAAGACGGCAAGCGATTCAATTTATTTTACACCGCCCCTGCACGTAACATAATCGCGCACCGTTCATGCGCCGTCATGTTGTTCGACGTCTCTATTTTTATGTTCAATCGACGATGATCGCATGTTGTCGATTGCGTATCCCGTACAACGCATCCTGTTACATCTCAACTGGATAATCTTTGGAAATCTTTGGCTTATTTCTAATGTTATAAATTTATTTATTTGATTTCTCTATAACTTTAAAATAATTCTACAAAAAAGAAATATGTGTTTTAAAATGAGATACGTATTTGATTGCAGAATCGTACGGATGACTTGAGCTCGGAGGTGGGTTGCGGAGTAAAATGTAAGATCGATCAGGTAAGGAATCTTGTACCTTTAATCATCGAATTAAATTTATTTGGAACATAGACACAATTCTCTTGATTAAAATTCTAATTTTGCATAAATTTTACTCAACCATTGCTATCATGGAATTACGTCGATAGAACCAACAGGTCTTTCATCAATAATATATATATTGACCTACAATTTATATAACAGTAAAAGGATTCGTGCGTACATAAAATGTTAGCAACAATAAATATGATTTTATCTCCTCTTGGCAGCTTTGAAGATTACTTAAGTTATTTACTGGTAAAATCTAAACGTATAGAATAACGAACTTCGGGACAACAATCGGCAATCTGGCGCGATATACGCAAATGATGCGGACGTCGGAGACGAAAATGAAGGGACGACAGTCCCTCGTTACAATGAAAGTACTTCCGCTGGTGTTCCAGGGGACCCCGCCGCTCCTAACTCGCGGCGGCGGCGGCGGAGATGGTAAACGGCAAATAAAAAACAACGCGAGCCGATGAATAGGGCGGACGCGCGTACGAAACGTATTGCGCGTATACGAATGAAAGAATGGCCCGTTCTCTCTTTTTCTCTTTCTCTCTCTCGCTTTCTCGCTCTCTCTAGTACGGCTTCGTGCCTTTAAATTGGATCGCGTACAAGTGCGACCGATGGCGGATGTCGCCAAATTACCGTGCGACTCCGGATTCACTCTCTCGCGCCTCGTCCGTCTCGCTGTAGCACTCTTCGTTTCTCTCCCAGTTTCCTCCCCGTCTAAAACGGAAGTGCGAATGAGAAAAAACGGGGAAATTGGGAGACGTATCTGACGCCAGGCGCATGTCGTAATTTTGTCATCGCGTTGTGAGATAAACTCATCGTCAAAATTGGAGTTTTAGAAAGAGATGAACTAAAATTAATCAATGAAAACAAACCTGAAAAATCGGTAATAATAAATCAGATATCTTAGAGGAACATAATACTTAATTATTTTGTCGCATATAAAATTTTATAAACGCTCTTTTCTTTTTATAAAGTAATAAAAAATATTAGCTAGCTATCCTTTACAGTATATGTATGTAAAATAACTATGAAAATTGAAGATATTTAAGAAATATCTTATGACTAGTGATTAAATTAGAAACGAAATTATTTATTTATCTTACTTTTTTAGATTTCCTTCTCGCTTTCAGATTCCTAATAAAAGAATCATTAGCTTAGTATGTGATAAATGAACATTCCAACGAGAGTAAAACATCGAAAGATCTCCCCTCGCGAAGCCGGAAGGATACCCAACAACGCATATCTCCAGGATAGGAAACGAGCAGCGCAATTAACCCCACGAAAAGGACAAAAAAGATTCTGGCCTACCTAATTATCTCCGAAAAAAATGCGATCGTTAATACATGGTGACGACGGTGACTGCTCGACGCATGGTTGGATATTCGTTGCGTGTGTCGTCGAGCGGGACCTGGAAAGCGAATTACCGCGCGAATTGCGCTTAAAACGATTTCCTCGCTCGGCTCGTTTCACGGTTCGTAAATCGCCAGTAACGCGTACGAGTAACGGACAGGGCGACGTAGGAGGAAGACGCTTCGCGATTTTAGCTGGACATTTTACGCGCTTCGGTGTGACCCATTTCTAGTCATTAACTATCGCGTATCTTTTGCCTGAGAAAACGAATTCGTGCGAAATCTTCATTTTATGCAATAGGATTTTTTAAGTTTCGATCATTGAATTGCATCATTAATTGCATCATTTTTTTCATTTTTTTTCTTAAAGCATTATTGAAATATTCAATTTATAAGTTTTATATTTATTAAAAAAGAGAAAAATCATTTAGATACTATTTATAAATTTAAAAATAATTTATAAGTTTAAAAATAATTAATTTATATATCAAATTTGGTTTTTGTATAATTAAAGAGTTTATTCAGTTAATTGAAAAATAGAAGATTAAATATACCTTGCATTTTCCATAATGTTCAACATTGATGCATTTCACAAATATCAGCAGATTGACTTTATGTCTCTTCCGGCAATTTCACAGATCGATAACGATGAATTAATACCGTAGGAATTTCTTTTGTTCGATGCTCTTTTTGGTTTGCTTTCAAAAATTAATGTAGGCTTGCGCGTTTTATGCTTATATTTCCGGAAATATCGACCAAATAACTTCCGATCTCTACAAAATTTTATCATAATTATTCTCTTATTAAGCTCTTATAAATATATCAATTAATATAAAAACTGTTGTGAATAAAAGAAAAAAATAATAAAAAATACCGACATAAAGTAAATAAATATTAAAAAGATAGACAAATTAGCATAAAACCTCAATTAAAAATCTATAATTTCTCTCTCTCTCTCTCTCTCTCTCTCTCTCTCTCTCTCTCTTTCTCATCGTTTTTTTTATAATAAATTATAACATTTTATACTTTAAGCACTGAGAGAAACATAAACCTCGAACGATAAACATTTGCTTCCTGGTGTCATGTGGCAAGAACTCAAACAGTTCAGCGTGTTTATCTGACAATGAAGTAAAATGGAGGACCACCGACAGCGAAGTATCCATACAAATGTCTCTGCTTAATAGTAGCTATTGCCAGAAGCCACTTCGGCTTGAAAATTGCTGTTGTAAATGATAAAGATAAAGTCCATACTTGTACGAAACAGAACAAAATAATAATAATTTTTAATATTTTAATATTTGGTGAAATTTCTCTCTTTAATCATTTCGTATTACTATTTTTTTTAAATTATTAGGATCAGCATAAAAAAATATATTTATATTTAAAAATATCACATATTTGACAAATAAATATAGATATAATGTAATTGTTTATATATTGTAGAATCTATTTTTTATTAAATATCTCAGTAAAAAAGAGAGAGAGAGAGAAAGAACAATTAAAATTTAAATATTTACTAACGAATGATATATGTGGCAAATATATATTAAAAAATTATACTTTACACAGAGAATATGAATAGTCGATGCCAAGACTAAAAGTCAAATTTAGTAACGTCAAAATCTACCAAAACATGACATTGCTAATTAGTTACCCACAAATTAGGAGCTCGTTATAAAGACATTACGGAGATAATTTGTGGTATCATATTCGTTAGAATTTTTTCTTTGCTTGTCTATGGTTGAAGCCAAACTGAAAGTAGTAAATGGGGCTAAAGCAAAATGAGCAGAGAACAGATAGATGTTCATCCGTGGTAGGATGAAGATCTACGATCTACGGAGAGCGCCGCATGTGCAAGAGGGACAGCCCAGCTGGGGGCATAATATACGCTGAGGATTTAATGAGGAAGTGAGAAATTAGCGGCCGCTGTGCGGAGTTGCTCTCGGTTCAACCATTTTCAACTGTCTGATAGTTTTGTCAACCCTCATTGTAAACGGCTAGAGCATTTAAAAACTTACATTTGACGAGGCATGTCGAATTAAAGCACCCAGATGCTCGTTAAAGCAAATTGAATATCAGGACACGTACTTCCTTTGCTCCGTAAAATATATTTATATTTCCCCTAAAGAGAACAAAATTATATAATCTGTTAAAATTAAATTGGGTTAATCAAAATTCGAGAAAGGTGAAGAATTGTAGGTTATCGTGGCCATAAATTAGATAAGATGCCTAAATCAACATGTTTTTAACACATAGAATAATCATATGATAAAGAATTATTTTATGTTTCTTCATAGCTTCTAACTAAAAGAGAGAGAGAGAGAGAGAGAGAGAGAGAGAAAATTCAGACATATTTGAGTTGATTTTCAGTAATAAAAAAAATTTGTGTATGACTTAAAATAATTAAAAATACATTTTGTGTCTTGTCTCATTCAAATATATATACATAAATATATATACATATATAAATATATATACATACAGTTATTTAAATATATATATTCGAATAAGACAAGACACAAAGCGTTTATTTTTTATTTTTAATTATCCAAATATTTCAAATCTCACAAAAATAAACAAATTTACAAACCATACACACAAATTCTTTTTTATTACTAGAAAATAAACTTAATATTTTTTTTACCTTTAACATAATCTTATATAAATTAATTTTTAAAAATTATTAATTAATTATAACACAGCAAATTAATTATTATTATTAATATTTAAATAATATTATTGCATATTATTGATATTGCAATAATATTATTTAAATACGCATCGATAATTTGCCGTGATTGTCGTAGAGTTTCAGCGTCAAATGATTATTAATAACCTTTATCTGGTGCTGGAGGTTCCTTTACTTTCACAGACTTTTCAGACGAGCTGACCTATGTGATACCCTCGTATATACCACCATATACGCATGACTTATTGTACCCGTATATTATGCGTTGCGTATCTCGTAAGATCGTCCAGAGTTCATGCTTGAATAATGGGCATCTTTTTTTAAATATAAATACAAAGCTTAAAACATCTTTTTGGCTGAAACATCTTTCTGTTATATAACTCAATATATCCATCAAATAGACATATATTAAGAAAAGAAATAACATATTGAATACCTATCATAAAATTTTGAAGAACTGTTAACATGAATTATCTAAAAATTATATTTAATAAATTTATAATTATATTTAAGTGTAGAAAAGATTTTTAATTTTTTAGAATTTTAATTTTTAATTAGCGTGTGTTTTACAATTCAAAGAAATTAGGTTTCTCGTACGATGCAATTTGCTTATTATTCCGCAATGTCGAGAGCAGTATTATTTATATATGGCGCCTCTCGAACGCAATAACCAGAATGACGATCAATTTGCCAATTGTTAAATAGCATCTCTCGTAACTCCGGACGTTAGAATAGACTTTCCACTATGCACTACTATAAAACTCTATCACACTTATTTATGATTAACAAAACTGTGACATGGAAAAAATGCGCAAGAATAAGAAAAATTTATCTTTTTATTGCTTCGCATAAAAAAATATTTTATTTCGCTTAAAATTTATCTATTTTAAAAATTATTAAATTAAACGATATAATCATCTCAACAAGCTCGAATACCTAAAAAAAATGGCAGCGACGATTGAAATGTTCCAACTGTTTAGAGATCTATCAAGTCTACATTCGAGACACTCGTAGCAAGTCGCTTCTGTATATTTATGCTTCTAAGTGCACTCGCGCGAATGCATTTCCTGTTCTGATGTTTTCTTTAAAAACTTAATACACGTATATAGCATTCGATATATTGTGAAATTATTTATTCTGAAAGAAAAAATAAATTGATAATAAAATTGGAGCAGTGAGAGATAATTATTTCAATCTGTCTGAGATTAATTACTTTTATCATAATTAATTCCTAATTATATCTTCTTGTCGTTATATATATAATAATTTTAAAATACAGTAATTTAATTTAAAAAAATACAGTAATACCACTTTATTCGGGAAATAAATCTAAAAACTGTATTTCGCAAAGTAAACAAAGATTTATACTGACGCAGCAGAGGCTGCGCGTCCTCGGTTACAGCTGGCTTGTTGTCGACGACAAATGCCCACATCCTCTCGCGCAGTAAGTTAATGCGTTAAACTTTAGTTCGCAAATCCATGCCCGACAAACTGCCATGCAACGAGAGTCTTATGAACGTGGGCGTTACTTGAGGCACGTGCCACGCAGGCCGAGACCAGACGCGATCACGAAAAATTACGGTTTTGCCTTGCGACAGTGAGTTATGTCACATCGCTCCAGATAACGTGATCCATTGTTTAGTTACTTCCGGAATTGCATTTTAGCGAATCGCATAGAATGCTCGATGACCTTCGACGGAAGAATGCATCGGACAGTCAATTTATTGCAAATCGGATATACTTATATGAGGCGATCCATTGTTCTAGAATACAGTGTCTACATAAAACAATAATGTAAATAAAATTGTGATGAATGTCATATTCATTTGCAAAAAATTTTAATTAGAAAAATTAAATAAAAATTATAAATAAATATTCATAAAATATAAATCGCGCATTTCAAAACAAATAATTTTTTTAATAAATTTGTTATATACATTAAATATTGCATTATTAGTTATATAAATATCTTATTATATAAAATATCTTATTTAAAAGTTCATCGTATTTAAAAAAATATAATTTACATTATTAAGATGAAGTTTGTATACATGTTAAAGAATATCTCATTTAGAGAGAGCAAAATATTTTTCTGTGTATAATCTACATTCTGGTATAATCAATAAAATTTATTCACACAAAAACATCGATATTGTTCAAAACATTGCATTTAAAAAAAAAACTAATACAAAAAATTATACTACATTTTGCGTTTTATAGGAGAAAATATATTGTTTATTGTTCTTAAATTTATTGCATTTGATTTAAAATTTCTAATATTATTCGTTTTAAGAATATATGAAATTAAGATATTATTGTTTTCTTATCATTATATTTATTTTTTCAGTGTACAAAAGGCTGCGAAGCATGGGAACAAGCGCTCGACACAAGCTGCCAAGCTGTTTGCGTTAGTATCGCTGCTACTTTTATTTTTATGGTATTTATCGGACAAACTTACGTAAAAGTGCAGCAATAAAAGTGTTTGTAATGTAAAAAAATTTTTTTGCACAATCTTTTACGTAATATCCTCCTAATTCTCCAGCGAACAAATATATAATGTCAATCCAATGTACTGTTTGCAGAATGGAACACAAGAACTGTTACCGCCGAAAGAATTATATTGCGTTTTGGGCTGCCATGATGCATTAAATCGTTATTTCCAGCAGCTCAAAGGTATAACATCTTTATAATATCTTTTTATATTCATCTAGAAATATAAACTTTTCCCAAAAAAATATTAAAATTTATATATAATGAGAATAATTAAATATTTTATATATTCTTATCAATGATAAGAAATATTATCAGAAAAAAGAACATTTATTTCTTGTGTGAACACAAAATAATTATTTCATTAAACTTACAGTTAAATCTCATACAGTTAAATATCACTCTTGTGTACAATCATGAATCATTTTTATGAGCTTTTACGATAATTTATAATATTTAAATTTAAGAAATTTTTTCACATTTTACCTCTTTTCATCATCGTTTATATTTCTCTGTTATATCTATATATGTATTTTCTTTTTTTTAATAAATTAGATAAATATTGTTTATTTTGTGATTATTGCCATCACAAATTAATTAATTTTAAATTTAATATAAGATATAGATACTGTAAATAACAATCTACATATCATAGTAATCTACTGTAACAATCTACATATCATAGTAATCTAAATATTATTTTCATATTAATTTTTCATTTTTTTATATCAGCTTGTAATTACCAGCGTTTTTTATCTCTAGAAATTTGCAAATTCCTTCCCATATTGATCAAAAGAGGCGATCTCAAGCGGTTCTTCATCGTAATGATCAAAGTTACTTGCAATGCCTGAATTACCGTTAATGCAACGAGGAATAAAACTCGGTTGCACTTTTTGATGATAGATCTCGATCCAATCGATAGATTGGAACCAGCGATGTTTCTTGATGTCCATACTACCATCTTTTAAATTGCCATATCTTCTCGTCAGATCCACTTGCAGAATATTCTTCAATATATCCCTCAATTCTTCACCAAAGTGATGCGCAAACTTGTACTTGCCTGCTACAATCTTCTCGTAGATCTTCATGGGATCATGCGCGTAAAAAGGCGGATATCCCGCGTTCATCTCATAAACCAGTACACCAAAGCTCCACCAATCGACGGACTTACCATAACCCTTTGAAAGAATTACCTCTGGCGCCAGATATTCTGGCGTGCCGCACAAGGTCCATGTGCGACCATCTACCATCTTACAGAAACCGAAATCAGTTACCCTAAGGTAGCCGGAATTCTCTATCAGGATATTCTCTGGCTTCAGATCTCGGTAAATTAGGCTACAGTGGTGCAAATACTCCAAGGCCAAGGCTACTTGAGCGGCATAGAATTTCGCCAATGACTCATCGAACTTCCCCATACGCCTTAGATGAGTGAACATTTCGCCACCCTGCGCGAATGGTAACACCATGTACACATAAGAATTGTCCTGAAACAGGAATTGAAATATAGTATGCGTTTACTTTATGAGAATATTTTAAGATATTTAGAAATTATTACAAATATTACAAATATTAAGAGAAATAATTTAATTTCTCTTTTAGAAAAAAATGTCAAAAGAGATCTATCTGTCTAATATACTTTCGATCCTTGCCTTGAAGAAGAATTCCATAAAGACCATGAAGGGAAAGTTGATGCACTGCAAGATTCGTTTCTCGTTACGTGTGTGGTCTATTTGCTTCATTTTCACGAGTTTTGCTTTATCGAGAATCTTCATGGCGTAATACGAGGACGTTGGTTTATATTTGACAAGAATAACGCGGCCAAAAGCACCAGTACCGACGGTTCTAAAACGTTCAAAATCTTCTAATTTCGCGTTATCGTTCATCTTTGTTTTCCACTTCTCCATGAACGCCGTTCTCAGATCGTCTAAGATATCATTGTATTCCTTAAACATTCGTTCTCTTTCGGTGTCGACCACTCGTACGTGTGACATTTAAAATTCTTTAAATTGGAATGCTTTAAACTTGAAAGGTTAATAAATCATGAAGTGACATATTTCTTCAACGAGATGATGATCGTATGTTGTTTATTTATATATCTATATAAACATATATGCATATGTGCAATGTGCATCACTATAATTGTATTTGCATTACTTTAACTAAAAATATTGCTAATATTATGAGACTTCCTTCATGGACAGTTATTTTTTCTTTCTTTCTTTATACATGCAAATATATATATTTATATAAATCAACAAAAATTAAATTCTGTTAAAATACGAATTAAATACCTATTGACATTTTTGTTATGACATAGAAACATTATATAAATTGAATGAAAAAATCATTATGAATAGCGGAAATTGGCACTCCATCGGCACCAGCACTGGTTGCGGATTCATTGACGGCGACCTCGCTCAGCCTTGAATGGAAGAGCGGTATAGATAAACGCGCCGGAGGCATATCATACTTGGTGCAATGGAGATACGAAGAGCTAGCTGGGACATGGCAGTACTGTAGGAATCAATCATGGGGTGAAGGTGATCAGATACTAGTCGAGAACCTGCAACCGTATACTAAGTATAGGGTATGTAAGGAAAGAATCTCTCTCAAATAGAGTTATATAAACATTTCATTAATCTTTTTCATGTCATTTACTCGATATACAGATATAAAAGTATTTCATTCTTATATTAATAAAATATAAAATGCACACTATATCTGCGAATAACTTTTAAATAATACGTACGTTAATTCATATAAGCTCGACGTAGACTTGAGGTGCATTTAAGACTATCGAGTCGTTTTTTATTCTTTCATATATAATTTTTCATGGAGAAAAAAAAACGTTGGCATTTGCAGTTTCGTGTAGCGATGCTTCTGAAATCGTCGCAACACAATCCGGAACCGATCGTGTCAGCGCCGAGTGTGGTAATATTAACTTGCCCAGCCGGTCTACCGACATCAGCACCGGTAATTGTAAGAACGACGGCGGTAGACAGCTACCGCGTATCTATATCTTGGGAACCAGGCCCATTCTCGAACGGGCCAATTTTGTCGTATGTCCTTCGTCTGCAAGGGGCTGAACATAAAATGCTTAAGGTACACGCCACGCCAGAACTATATACAAATATGCGTCAATCTGACTCTGATACTCACACCGAAGTGTCTCTCGCATACTTCTGTATGCACAAGCCTTTTTTTCTTCTCTCTCAACTGATGCACTCTTATATTTTCGTATATTCGCGCAAGACGCGTAGTCACGCTTTTCTGTACTATTTAACTATTGTTTATTTAGAAATGTAATGTGTACAACTGGTTCTGCAAGGTTCATCCCATTACTCCATTTGAGAGAAAGTCATTGGCGAGCAACCGCGTCGAGTTTTATTATATATAGCAACGTTAAATAATATACTTGTCATTTTATCCTGCAACAATGATACAAATCTTTTTTGTTTATCTAATTCTACTAAAATCATAAGATGTTTAATTATATATTTTCTGTTAGTTTTTATTAATATATTATCTTTAATTATAATTATAAATATATTAAAAATTAAAGATCGTCAATGAGTCTCTTATTTCATATCTTTCGCTTTTCATGCGTACTAATATTAATTTCAAAAGAATGCACGCTTTTAAAGCATGGCCGCTTTCTTAAAATATTATTATGAGACAATCATCTATTAATCATAAATATCTATTGCATCTTCATTAATTATACATGATCCAAAACTCCGTTAAAACATTAAATTCAATGACTTGTATGAACCAGATCATCTGCGAAATAAGTTTCTGGCATGGCGTCTTTTTTCTCCTATAATTGCATATTTACTTCCTAGCAAGGGATTCGCAGTGGGATGATTACGAGTTATAAAATATATATTATATTTTATCAACAGGATGTGCCAGTTAACGACAGTCACTACATGTTTCAAAATCTCGAAGCTAGAAAGAATTATTCTATTAGTGTGACTATGAGAAATGGAGTTGGCGAAGGTCCAGCTGCAACTGTCTATATCTCTACGACTCCAGAACCTACTTGTACGTTTCAAAAAATTTATATTTACATTAGTATTAACAAAAATGATATTACATAGATCTATCTAAATGTTATGCACATTACTTTAAATAATTTGATTATTTCAATTAATCAAATCCATCCTCGACTGCCGATTCTTAGATTTCATATAATTCATGTCCATATCAATGAACTTAAAATTTAAATTTATAAATAACTAATTATAAACAACAATTTTTAGTCAAGAATACACAACAACCAATTCTCATTCTCGGAGAAGAACATAAAGTCACGATGCAGAGCGCCAATATGTTGGATCCAGCCAGTGTTATTTACAAGACCAAAAGTACAATACGCGGAGTGGCAATACACGTGGCATTCGCTCAATTATATGTTTCAACTTCGACGGGTTACGTGTATCGTACCTCGATTATCGAGCGATCGGAACCGGAAGTTATTCTAAGTCCTGGTCGAGTGAACTTCAAACCATTAAGTCTTTCCGTTGACTGGTTGAATCTTCACTTATATGTATTGGGAGAAGTAAAACATGCCACTACCACAGTATGGCAGATAGTCAGATGCAATTTGGATGGCAAAGGTTTGATAGTAGCTAAGGCTGGATTTTTGACACAACCCTCGCAAATCGAAGTCGATCCTTACAATGGTTACATTTTCTGGGTCGTTAAAGAAGGATTGTTTAAATTAGATTTAGCGGATATCAGCAACGGTGTGAAACACGAGGTATGAATTTCTTTTTTCATTTATAACTTTATATTACTAAAACTATTATTTTTAACGTTATACTAACAGATGCAAAATTTTTAAACGTTTAAGATGTACATTATTTTAATATATATACTGTAATATATATACTGTTAATATTAATATATATTTTACTTTCTTTAAATAAAATAATTTTTTAAAAGACATCTTACTATAAAAAAACGTATAAAAATTTTTAATGATCTCTTTTTAAGAATTAATGTTATTTTTATTATTTTAGGTTCAACCATATTTAATTCTCAAGGATGGAAATTTGGGTGCTTTCACGGTAGATCATATGAATTTTCGATTGCTTGTTGCTCATCACCGTAATAATACAGTGATAGCGCTGCCTTTCTATGGTCGTGACTATTTTGATCAGCGCCCCAATATACAAACACCCATATTCAATCACGTTGTTTCTTTAGCTATGGCAAATGGTTTATTTTATTGGACTAATGGTGCAAATGTTCTAACCGAAGGCTATCATCATGAACAAAAAAAATATTTTCACAATTTCTATCTTGACAGGTATTTTTATGTTTTAGTTTAATTTTTAATTTAACATTTGGCTTAAAACACTAATTGTCATCATTTTTTGTACGTATAACTGTACGTATAATCGGGTTTGAATGTAATAATTACATAATATTGTTAGAAATCCTAAAACAGAAAATAATTTATAAACAATAAAACGATAAGTCTTTTAAAAAAAGACAGTTCCTATATTGAGTTGTTCGCTTAACAATATCTTCAAGATACAGTTGTTCGGAGTTCAGTTGAACGAAACTATTACACATTCTTACTATTAAAACGATATAATAATAATAATTTTATTGAATATACACAGTAGTATATACTGTGAATAGCATTTACAGTAGTACTATATATATTATATTATATGACAGTCGTTTAATATTTTTCTTGGCATAATTTCTCTCGAAAAAAATTTAAAAATACTAAATATATTAATAAAATAATAAATGTTTAATATAAGATTCTTCTTTCTGATCTTTTTATTTCAAAACTCGTTTTATTTATTTCGACATATTTTATTCTTTGATATTATTTTAATGTTTAATGTTATTTAATGTTATATAATAAAAATTATAAATAATTTTTGCTATAAAAAATTGAATTAAATCTATAATACATTAATAGCGTGAATGAATAAATATCTTCATCTTCAGGTCCGACACTAATTTCATCAGTGTGAACGTATTGATGAATGCAAGCCAACCCATTCCCGTTCCAGTAAATCCACCTACGGGAGTACAAGCTGTCCTAGGAGCAGAAAAAGCCAAGATCTCCTGGCAAGCTCCTCATTTACTAGGTTCTCAAGGAAAAGGTGCTTATCAAAACTGGTCGTATGAGCTGGAAATAATAGACGAATCGACTGGCGAAACTATTCATCAGAAAGACATCGTTGGATTGTCACATACTGTCTATCATTTGCGAGAAAAGTCGAAATATTCCATCAAAGCTGCGGCATACACGAATGCTGGTAGAGGACCATGGTCTGCGGAGTTTCGCGGGCGAACTTTAACGTAATGTTAATTAATAATTTTATTAAACTAAATAATAATAAAAATATGATAGATTCTTTTGTACTGAAAGAGTTTTGGATATTTTCCTTTTATCTTCTTTCTCTTTCGCTTTACATGTTCTTTATCTGTCTTTTTAATTTTTTTATTAAAATTTTATACATGTAAGATTTTTGAAAAAAATTGTTTCTTTTACATTACGTTGGTTCTTCCTGATTTACTAAATTAAATTATATATTTAGAGATGGTTCGCACGCGTCTATTTTGTGGTCGTCGAACGAGGGACTTTTGAGAAGCGACGTAACCGGTGAAAATATAGATACGCTGATTTCTAAAACAAATCTGAGAGAGTCCGAGAGTGAATTCCACATTGTCGACGTTAGCTGGTATAAGGATGTGCTGTACATAGTAGGAAATAATTCCGCGCTATATTGTTATAATGTTAGCACTCATCAGCTGACGAGGCTTATCACGCATTCAGTGGGAAGTGTCGCCGTGGATTGGTTATCGAAGAAATTGTATTGGGCGAATCCAAAGCAACAGATAGTAAGTATAATTAAATATATTTTAACTTAAAATGAATTAGAATACGCAATTTTTTGCATGAATTTTATCATAATTTTGACAGTATGTTTTTGAAATATCTCAATATCTAGATTCTATAAACTCTTATAATTATAATTTAATATAGAATATTTGTTTTATATTATCAATTTTATTTTAATTCTGTAAAGCGTGTGCCGTTATTCTACAAGAATCTATAACTATTATAATAAAGAATTTTTGGTAAAGTAATGTTAAAAAATATACTCTATTTCATTTCAAGGATACTTTATAGAAAAGTTTTACATAGCAATATTATCCTAACTTTATAGATAACAAGAGCAAATTTGAATGGATCTCAACAAGAGCCGATGATCTTAGCAATCGTGAAAGAACTTATGATTGATTCTCTAGAAGCATACTTGTATTGGTCTACTGGTCACGCTGTGGAGGTTGCACGATTGAATGGCCAGAACAGGAGATATTATCATTCGGATGAAATTTTTAATGGCAAACAAGTGATGGGACTCACACTCGACACCGAAAATAGATATGTCTATTGGATCGTTCGAAGCTACGAAAGCGGATCCATCGTTTATCGAGCACCTACATCCGAAAGAATTCCAATGAATCACCAAATCGTTCCGGAAAAGGTATATTTAATTAATTAGTATATTTAAACTTAGTATATTTAATTAATTTTTCTATTTAAAATACTATTATTTCTAATAATAATATTATAATTTCTAAAATTAGAATATTATTATTTCTAATAAACAATAAATTTGTATTTCAAGGTTTCTGTTTTAAAAGATCCAAATGTGCAAGGACCTGTATGTTATTTCTCCGAGCATCTGCTATGGCTACAGGACGGTACGAATGCAGTGATAGGTGATCTCTCTGGTCAAAATACCGCCGTGATCAACGGAATCACTTTATCCGGCTTACATATGGTGGCCGTTATGGATCCCGCGCTTCATCAATACCCGAAGAATTTAACTTCGGAAACCGTAATGGTTTCACCGAACGCTGTCGATATTAATAGCATAAGAGTCGAAGGAACTTGGAGAAATTTTAACATATCATGGGATCCAGTGGAAAACATTAATTATGGCACGGTTTTCTACGAAGTAAAGTTCGCGGATTACATCAATACGAATTCGAATCCGGAAATCACGAACGAAACGACAATACCGTATAACAACTCGGATCAAATTCTTCCTTACTCCGTCCTGGAGGTTACTGTAAAAGCTTTTACTTACTGGGAATCGGCACATAATTCGCGGAAGATCTTGAAATCACCGGAGAGCATGCCGACTCAGCCGATGTTTCCTAGGGCTTTCGTGGACAAAGAGTTCCATCATGAGTTCCGTCATCATGAGTTCATAACAAACGATCGTCTCGTGATATTCAGGTGAAGAATCTGAAATTTTATCATCTTTTATTTTTTTTTACGTTTAATAACATATATACAAGATTTGAGTTATAGATTTATTGTAAGCAATTAAAATGTTTCTTAATCTTTTTATAGATGGAATCAGCCTCAGTTTACAAATGGAGTGATTGAAAGATACATGGTCCAGTGTTGGTTCATCGAAAATCAAAACCGAATTCAAATCTGTAACGATCAAAACATCCCAGCCTCGACATTGGAGTATACAGTACATAATCTAAGACGCAATATGACATATTACTTTCAAGTACGAGCATATACCAAAATTGGTCCTGGTCCTTACACGGATTTAATCAACGTGTCGACCACATACGAAAATCCAGTGCCTCAATTATTAGTCGCCACCGCGGATGCTGTAAGAATGTCTGACTTGGATCGAGAGATCAATTACACGCTCACTAGGCACAGCGCTACAGACGTCAATTATCTGGAATTTGAAAATGAAATTTATTGGATTAGTGAGATGCAGGAATTAGTGACATCGGAGATCAACGGAGCCAACGCCACAAAAATACTTGCTTTGAAAAATAGCGCGCACAGCCTTTGCATCGATTGGGTAGCAAGAAATCTGTATTGGACAGAATATAATAGTACTAATTCATATAATCGAGAAAATAGCGGCTATATCATGAAACTGGACTTAACTATGTGGAAAGTTGGCGAAGTTAAATATAATAATATTGTAAAAAGAGGGAGATACATTCCAGTTTTAGATATACTGCCGTCTTTGAGGTATGCTGATTTTTATTCATCTAAAAACTGAAATAAAACATTAACTTCATTTATCTCTTTTTTATAAATATTTAAAAAACTTGTTTTTGTAATTAATATCAAATTATATAATCTCAAACCATTTCACAAGATTATTAAAAATTGTAAAATTCACAAAATTTTGCTGTATTTCCTTCAAATAATATTATATAAAATATAATTAAAATATAACACATATTTTCTAGATCTTTATATTGGATTGAAGCGATAAATGATCGAGGAATAATAATGCAATCGGATCTCGACGGGAGAAACGTGCAACCGTTTTTCAAAAATAATGTAAATAAAACATGTACCTGCCCATTTAGTAGTTTATCGGTAATGCCGATGATGACAGTTGATAAAACTAATATCCAAAAACCGATGATATACTGGGTATCAATGGAGGGACATTTAAACGTAGCTGACATTTACGGTTGCATGTGCAATGTAGTATACGCGGACTTCAAAACAGCGACTCTCACGTCTCTCACGGTTGACAAGGTGAATATATACTGGGCCAATGCAACAGAAAATCGAATCTATTTCATGAAAAAGGAGTATCCTTTTTCTATGAACAAAGAAAATATGTCTAAACCGGAGATAAAGAGCGTCTATCTGTCTAACGTACGTCACATCATAGCCTTCGGCAAATCTCTGCAAACTTATCCTGCAACGAAATGTCTGATACCTCGCCGAAAAGCTTACACTATCGAACGAGTGAATGCAACGGCGACTAGTATCGTCGTCAATCTTCCGGAGACGAATCCCGAGATCGGTTGCGAGAATTATAGTCTACCCAGCACGCTATATGTTATCCATGTGCGTTGTCAGGAGTGCGAAGGTTTCGAGTTGCAAACATATGAACGACATTACGAGATCCAGAATCTGAAGCCATTCACAAACTATACGTTGCAGTTAATATTGAGTAATGTTTACATCAAGCAATACAAACTGCCTACCTTATCAGGCTTAGATGTAGTGCTGATGACTGATCCAGGCAAACCTTACGCACCGGAAAATTTTACGGTTCAAGTGCTAACGCCAACCTTGGCAGCGGTTTATTGGATGCCGCCTAAGATATTAAATTGTGCGGCTGTGCATTACGAGGTACATTGGATATCGCCTCTCTTGGTGAACGGGTCTCGACACAAGGGCGAACAGGTGATGAAGGATAAGCTCCAGCTTACGAAGGATGGCAGGTTTTTCACGATGTTGAAACCATTCCTGCCAAACCAGGAGTATCAGGTATACGTGCGTGTGTATCCTGTCAATTTTACCAATTTATACAATGAGACCCTTAAAAAAACTATCAACATGTATTCGGAACCGAACAATTTAACTCTAAGCGAAAGAAGCGTGAATAGTATGAATATTTCTTGGATCCCGAGCATCAATCTAACGATCAGCTACACACTGCAATACAAGGATGTTTCGTTGGACACGCGATGTCCAATGCAAAATTGCGATTGGCAAATCGCAGACAACTTTGAAAAAGCTTTGACAGAGTTGAAACAGTACAAAATAACATATCATATAAGAAATTTACAACCGCGTACATTGTATAAATTTCGTCTGATATTGAAATATTCCACATATGCGGAGGACTTTATATGGCCGTCTGATGAAAGATTTACATTTCAAACGTTAGGTAAGTAAATAAAAACATAAAATGTGCAAAGTATTTAATATGCTTAATATGAAAGCTTAGATGAGAGTATTTTCTAAATTTGCTATTGAGAGAAGTTAATAAAATTTCAAATAGAAATAGCATAATAACGTCAAATAAAACAAAGAAATATATTATTTATAATTATCTTTTGTATAATACAGGTGATGTCCCGAGTGCTCCTGGAAAACCTACGGTAACGAGACTTCGAAATTCTGTATACCAATTAAATTGGGAACCTGCTCAAGCTCATGGTTCACAAGTAACTTTATATCAATTGGAAGGCTTAATCACCGACAATTACAAACAAGATAACGAAGCCACCGAGAACGAATACTGGAATTTATATTATAATGGAACGGATAATTACTGGATAATTCCCGGAGACATAGATCAATACGTAAAATTTCGTGTGCGAGCTAAAAATGCCTATGGTTTCGGCGCTTGGAGCGAATCAAGCTCGATCATTGATCTAACAGAATCTGCCGGAGGATTAATAAATATAACGGCACAGCAGCACTTACCATTCATGTTAGGTCTTATCGTAATCGTTATTATTGTAATGTTGGTTTGCTTCTGCTATTTTTTCTGCCGTAAGTATGTTTAACTCAAAGTGTTTAATTGTGAGTTTATTCAGATATAATATATGGAATTCATGAAAAAGAAATAGTATGTTGATAAAAAATAATTTATATATATATATATATATATATATATATATATATATATTGGCAATGTAGTATTAGACAAATGTATCATGACGTTATTTAGCAGTTTACCGACAACGCAAAGAAGATAAAAAGGCAGTTTTACCTCCAATAATATCCGACGTTGAATTAGCAACTCTTCGCGAGATACCTCGTGGGAACTTTGTTCAATCTAACGTATTATACGCTTCTACGTTGCAAAATGATCCGGATGATTCTGCGTTGCCTAAAATCAAACAAGAACAAATCACGTTAGCAAAATTTCTAGGTAGTGGTGCATTCGGAAAGGTAAGAAAAATTAGTTTTCTTTTAACATTTCCTCTACATAATATATATATATATATATATATATATATACATATATATATATATATATATATATATATATATTGTTACATATGAATTTTATATTCTTATATAAATATAAATGAAATTTGTATTTTAAATAATTTTTAAATTAATTCTGAATATTTTGCAGGTATTTCAGGGAGTAGCCAAGGATTTAGAAGGGCCGGGCATAACACCTGTTGCGATAAAGATGCTGCGAAAGGATGCTTCTTCGCAAGAGAAAACAGAATTTTTGCAAGAAGCCAGACTAATGAGCCATTTTCGACATAAACATGTGTTAAGGCTATTAGGCGTTTGTTTGGACACCGATCCTCCCTTACTCGTATTGGAATTAATGGAAGCTGGTGATCTATTGAGTTATTTGAGAGAGAATCGAGCCTTACAACCCACAGATTCGCGCGCTTTGCGTCTGCAAGATTTGCTCGCCATGTGCGAAGATGTTGTGCGGGGCTGTCGTTACCTGGAGGAATTGCATTTCGTGCACAGAGATCTCGCGTGTAGAAATTGTTTGGTGTCAGCGAGGGATCGCGAGAATCGTGTCGTGAAAATCGGTGACTTTGGACTAGCTAGAGATATTTACAAGAATGATTATTACCGTAAGGTAAATGCAATTTTTGAACAATGATAAAGAAAATTTTACAAACTACTCATCTATACTTTCACATAAAAATAATATTGTATACGCTAAACAAAATTAAAAAAAAATAATTATTTTTTTTCTTTATAAAGAGATACGCTAAAATAATTTTAGCACGTAATGCATGCTTATTCAAAAAATTGAAAGCTTGAGCGAAAGAATTAATTAGCAAAAATCACGTTTTTAGGAAGGGGAAGGTCTATTACCTGTTCGTTGGATGGCACCGGAATCCTTGGTGGATGGGATATTTACTTCACAGAGTGACGTTTGGGCATTCGGTGTGTTAATATGGGAAATTACGTCGTTGGGTCAGCAACCTTATCCTGCCAGGACTAATCTCGAAGTGTTACATTACGTGCGTGCGGGTGGTAGGCTGCCGAAACCTCTCAACTGTCCAGCGACATTACATCAATTAATGATGCGTTGCTGGGACACAGCGGACGCTAGGCCAAGCTTCAAGATTTGTCTAGAAAACATCGTCGCCTTGAGAAGCAACATAGAAGACGCAATATTGAGTCCAGTGCATACTGGACAATATTTAACTCGCAGAGGTAAGTTAATATTAATTTTTTTTTCATATCATTGCATGAAGCAATTAATTTCTACAAATCAACAGAATGTTAACTGAGAAAATGCAACTTTTTTTACTTGCACCTGCATTATATATAAAATATTTAATGCTTTCATGAATCACTCGTTTTGCTATTATAATATGGTTACACACATTAATATGAAAATTGAGTGTTTCTTTCACATGGATAAAAGAAAAATGAATAAGGCAAAGCACATAATATTTTATAATGCATACGATAGCTTACAAATTATAAATGGTTGATTGCAAGGAAACATTTTCTACAAATTGTTATTAAATTAAAAATGCAAAATGATAAATAAAACTTATACTAATTTATTATTTTTTAAATTAATTTCAAATACAAATACATCAATCAAATATCATCATTTTCTATCGAAAAATATAAGCATGTTTCTCATACATTCAATTCGTCATTATTATTAAATCACATATAACGAAATATCATTACCATCTGCTTTTTTAATCTTCAAATGTACTGGAAATATTACTCTTTGCTTAAATACATATTTATCATTGCATGGCTCGTGCTTACAGGCGTGTCTAACATGGCTTACTTTGCTGACAAGAATCAAAATCATAATAATTCAGGTGGGTTTCAATAAACATCATCTGCTTCTACCATTCTACGCTAAGAGGAAATATAGTTTCATTTTTTATTACTACAAGTTCATATTTCTTCTGCAATTATAATTAATCCATATACATAATATAAGATAATATAAATTTACAAGATAATATAAATATAACACATGTATAAAAGAAATCATATCAAGATATTAAAAAATTATTGTTTTTTATAAAGAAATATATTTTTCTACAAGTTTTGCAATTCATAAGATTCTCTAATATATTTTACTGTAAATTGTAATCGAGATATTCTGCACAGGAAACTCCTGGAAGTCCAGCAGCTCCGAAGGAAGCCGAGATATGCAACCTTTCCTCCAAAATTCAAACTATGCCATGCTCAATCGGCAATCCGGTGAGGTTCCGAAGTATCTAGAATTATTAGCAGATAACGAGGATGTCTTAAAAGAAAATCCTACGAGTGGTTACGAAGTACCTCGTTCGAGTCAGATCTCGGATCAAAATTTAGCAAATATAAACATGATTAATTGCATAAATCAAGATCGTAAATGCAGTTTGCCCACCGAGATCACACAGGAACGTAAGGAACATTCCACGGAAGAACGGAAGCAAGCTGATGGAAAATTATATGAAAAGAGATCATCGATCACTAGTCTCAATTTGCCAGAACGAAAGGGTGCGTCGATTTCGGGAATACCTGAAAAATATAACACATTGGACAGCTCGAAGTCGGTGAACTCAGTTGCAAAGACGATACCAAAGAGGGATTCTTTCTCGTCCTTAAACGGACGAAAATACAGGACTGATTTGAGCGGACGAAGGGATTCTGAGACGAGCATCGAGGGTAGGAGCTCTAGTTCGCACAGCTTGGCGCCTTCCACGCGTCCCAGTTCGTCCTTGATCAATTCGCAAACAGTCCTCCCATGCCTGAAGCTTAACGTCCTCGCGACCGTTGCAGGAAACGGAGAAGTGCCTTCGAACGAGAACGCGATGACAAAGTGTACGTTACCGAAGATCCAAAAGACTCACTCAAACTTGCAAAATGGCAAGGCAAATATACCGCTTGTAATAAATAGCGCGTTATTGAATCTACTGCGACAAACGCCAGTAGTTGAGGAAGGCAACAACATTGTAACGTATACAAATATAAGTGCGGATGCTGTCAGAGTGAATGGATCATAAATCGTTGATCGTAGTGAATCTAAAAAAAAATGAAAATTTTATGAATTATTTTTGAATTGACAAATAATTATCAAAGTTAATAATTAAATGTTCTGAGTTATGCTCGGGTAGATTTATAGGACTTGGAACAAAAAAATTATAATGACAATAATTTCTAGATTATTACGAGGTACTATTTTCTCCATGGCGTTTTTTTGTAAATGATTTTTATAGTAGATTTATTTCAAGATCTTAGCAGTTTAGATGGATTTATTTTGTTAATTCGTTGAAAGATACAGCTAGTACGATTTTGCTCAAAAAAATTTTCTTTTTTTTATTTTAGCACAGGTGCCTTAAATATATATGAAATGCACATAACATATTAAAAAACTCTGCTTATATTAAAATTGGAGCATCTTATATGTAAAGAAAATGAAAAGTTACAGCGAACAGAGTTCAATAGCTTTAAACTGCCATTATAATGTACATATATCAATTTTTATACTCAAAAACTTATGCAACTTATGGCAGACCGTTTGTGACATATAGATATTGCGCGATTTTAATAATAATCGCAAAACTGTTATTTAATATAAGAATATTTTAATGATAAAAGAGAGAAGTACAGTTAATTTTATCACTATATTTCAAATAATATATTTATTGAATAACTTACGAAATTTCTCACTGTTCATTGTATAAATTTCATATTTGATAATTAAAGAATAATATGCAAAGCGATATAAAAATTGTTAAGTTTTCTATATAGTTTTAATGATATAAAATTGTATATGTATAAAATCCTATTTTGAAAAGATAAGTTTTTTAATGTATAAAATCTCATGAAATTTACACCAATGGACTGATTATGCTTGAAGTTTAAATTTCAAGTTTCCTTTTATATACATATATATAAGAATATATTTTATATATGTATATGTATATAATCAATCAGTGAATAGGATTAATAATTGTAAATAATATATAAATATATATAAAAGTGAGTTTTAATTAATTTAACAAAAAAATTATACCTATACAAAATATATTCTTCTCTTTAACTTCCTTTAAAATATTTATAAAATATCATAGTAAAATGTAAAAGTGGAAAATGAATTACCATCAAGTTTTGGATTTTCAATATATTTTTCAGGAACTTTCGAGAGCTGTTATCTTACATCCCTTCAAAGTATATAACATTTAATACGCATAAAAGGGTCTTTTCAAAGGTCCAAAAGCTCAGGGCTTTGTATCTATACACATATTGAAACTTTCCTCTCATATCTCAGATATATATCTCTCATATATATCTCTCAGATATATCCTGTCCTCTTGATTCTTCAGATGTATCAATTTGATTTATGTATCAGTCTCCATATACATATATTCATTAGATGTTTTTCTCTGTTAAAATTAAATCCTAAAAAATAGAAAAGACAAATATATTTTAATTAATTTAAATAATAAGAACAAATAATAATATGTTCAATCATATAATCATATTAATCTTATTAATGTAAAAAAGAAAGAGAAAACATTATAAATGTAAAATTTGTATCACGTTACATTTTATCATTAATAAAAAAATATTAGGCATCTTTTTTTTTCTTTTTTCCATAAAATATATTTATAAATAACTCTAAATTTTAATGCCTAATTAAGTTTATGCACACACATATACTCTATCTTATATAAATATATAATACAATAAGTACAGTATAGACTGTAGAAGTATATAATACAGTATAGACTGTAGAACAACAAAATTATTTACCTAAGTTTCATTTGTAAGAGGTACATCATCATCCAAAGAATCATCCTTACTGTGTTCATGCAATAAGACATAGTCTCTTGTACTGAAGCCAAATCTTATTACATCCTTTTCTAACAATTCATGATATTTTCTTGGTTCTAATTTTACATTATTTATAAATGTTCCATTTGCTGATTCTAAGTCAATAATATACGGTCGTATTCTCCTACCTTCAATACCTCCTTCTTTTTGGTAGGAAACTAAACGATATTGCAGAGCAGCATGTTGCTTAGAACACGAGGGATGATCTAAAGGTATATCTGCTACTTTACGATCTCTACCCATAAGATAAGCTGACTGTCGATGGATATATAATGTAGGCAATGCTTTCTCGCCTTTGAAAGGATACAATCTCCATCTGCGCTTAGGTTTCTTGGCATCTTGCGGTTCAGAATATTTAATAACTACTCCATTAACAGTATTCGTATCCTCTGTTAATTTTCCCGATACTTCAAAATTGGGCTTTTCTTTTTCAGTCTTTATGTTCGATTTTCCCCACTCAACAGAAGCTTCTGTCTTGACTTTTACGTCCTCCGAGCTCCTCTTTTGTTTATGTTGATCATTGCGTCTTCTTCCAGTATCATCCCTTCTGTCTCTACTTCTACTCCTATCATTGCGTTCTCTGTGTCTAGAATGACTATTTTCTCTTCTTCCTGGCGATCTTTCATATTTTTTCTTCCCATTCTGCTTCTCATCGTCTCTTCTGGAGTGCTCGCGTCTACCACCTCTGTGATCTCTGTCTCTACTCCTTTCCCTCAGCGATCTATCTCTGTGAGAATCGTTACTCCTCTCACGTCTTTCCTCTTTGTTATTTTTATACATATCCCTTCGGTCTGCACCGTTGCTGTGACTCGATCGCCAATTTGACATATTTCTCAAGTTTACTAAGAAATAAGAAATAATTAATATCGTGAATAAAATCGTCAATATCGACACAATATAACCTAACCTACCTAGAAATCTATTCGATTACATTGACCAGAGAAAAGAGAGAGGCTGCGTTCCAGTAATGCCAACATGAGGCAACATGAGGACGTGGTGGCACCCGATTGACCACGTCGCCAATTGGCCAATTCAAAATAGGACTCTCTGATTGGTCAATCGTTGCTGGTTCCCCTAGGCACAGGTAGATAATTGGCTGTCAATCGCAACGTGGTCAAACGGAACGCTTTCGTGGTTCTCTGATGGTGTGTGTGAACCGCGTTCTCGTTCCGATATAAACATTTATTATTGACTGACAGCTGAGCGGACATGCGAGTGTAATCATAGTGCGCAGGCGTCGAACTCACACGTACGCTTCCATTCACATGTCCGCTTCCATTCACATGTCCGCTCAGCTGTCAGCTGTCAGCTGTAGTTGCGTGCTGCTGGCGTACGCAGTCTGGTAACAGCGTACGAGAGCTAAGACGTTTTAATAAAAATCTTGCATAGTAAATTAACAGAGAAAATGAAGTGTACTCTGCAGGAATATATGAATATGATTGTGGCATACGGACTAGCGGGAGAAAATACTTATCATGCGGCCGCAATTTTATTTGGAATCATTTCTCAGGCGTGCACGAAAACCAAGTGGCCGTACAATTTTACGTGTTGTGCAATAATTATGTGAAACTGGATGTCGTGCATAATATCGGGATAACCGGTCCAGCAGTGTGCCTTCGTGTACGAAATGAAGAAAGGATTCTTGAAGCATTTTATCATCATTTTATCATTATCAACGCGTGCAATACATTTTATCGAGGGATTTTCAATCGCGGATCAATTTTTGTAAAGGTACTGTCACCATTAATTTTTTACATTTACGATATATTCAGCGTATAGTAATGGCATTTTGAATAATTTTCAAATTGAGAGTGGAATAGGCCTATGGGGGAAACCACTATAAAAAAAGCGCACCATGCTATCTACCGCAAGGTGGTGTGGAAATGATAGCGCATCATTATCTCGCCACTAAAAGGACGGGTCATCTTTCGGCGCGGTATTGCGATATATCGCAAACCACCATCATAATCATCTCTCGTCGCCGCGCGCTTTTACTCACGCAAATTGGCCGATCTTCTTTATTTAATATTTCGTTAATTATTGCGACAATCCCAAAACAATACAGATCATTCCTTCTTAATTTGAGCCAATCTACTTCTTTATTTCTTTAAGGTCGAAAGTTGACGGATGCAATCATAAATATTACACGTAAGTGAGTCCAAGAAGCAGATTTCGGATTTTCACTGTAAGTCAGCCGCTCCTCGGGCGATCGGGACGAGATTTAAACGGTAGTGCCGCGAAATGGTGTAGAATTTTATGCAAAAAGAACGAAATCGCTATCGCGTCCGGAAGTCGAGATATAAATTGGCCGTTTTTCGTCTGCGCGCGGACGGTCGAAATCGTGCACGACGCCGCGCATGTTGCCTGCCTCTCTCGCGCGATATTCACTGTAACGTGGCGAGTAAAATGGCAAGCTGAATGCAATCGTTCGATTAATTGATTAAATACTTATATATATCGAACGAAAAGATGAATCGGAATGCAATCGTTAGATTAATTAATTAAATATTTATATATATCGAATAAAAAAGCGAATCGGAATGCAATCAGTCAAATAGTGAATTAAATATTTATATATACCAAACGAAAGGATGAATCGGAATGCATTCGTTCGATTAATTCGTTAAATATTTATATATATAAATATTGACATGAACTACATCCGTTCGCTCGGTAACAGTACATGTGTATCTATGCTATGGTTCATATCTGAACTAGATGAGATGGGCAAAATCAGACAAATATATACAGACAGTCATAAATTACAGAAGTATTAGCAGAATATCAGAACAGGCCTTATATCGCAAAGCTCGTGTCCTATTTCACTAAATAATATATATACATATATAATTTATTATATATATATATATATATATATATATATATATATATATAATAACAATTATTAAATATATATTTTACAGGATATATTTCCTCTATTTCTATTAAATTTTCATTCTTGAAAATTTTAATATTAATTATGATTTTAACATTAAATTTTAACATTAAATATTGCAATGTTGTGTTGCACATGTAAAATTAAAAGATTAATTTAAAGATATTTGAATGTATATATCGAAAAACGTATCATTTTTTCATCAGATTTATGTTCTTAAATCTATAAAGTAAGTGAGTTCCAAATATTTAAACAAATCGATGATTGCACTAATGCTGCATATTTTTATTAAAAATGAATATTAAATATATTTGGACACAATAGATATGCCGTAATTGGAACACACATAAAACAGAAAAAAATACATATAGACATGTGCAAACATCAAGAGACTGCGTTTTATTTTGTATAAAAAAGTACAAAATTATTCTTATGTACATAATAATACATAATCAAGATATCTACAAGAATACTTATGAATTTGAAGTACATAATTTGCCACGCTGCGACTCTCTCCTCATTCTGAAAACCAACTACTTCTGTTTTTATTCCAATTGCAATAAAAATGCATCATGTGACAATTCAGAAAATATATCCGCCTTTTTTTATACTATTTTACATATCAACGTTTAGTATTTATTACTATACGATCGATTTATAAAGGTCCATTCCTCTTTTCTTATTGCAAAAGAACGAACGAGATAAAAAATTAAATTTTACTTAAACCATTTGAAAAATATTAGATTAATTATACCAGGAACAATGTAAGGAGATAATTAGTTTAAATTGAATGAAGTTAAAATAAAAACAAATGTAAAAAAATAAAGTATAAAATGCAATAACACGCACACTAGGGGATATAATAAATTATGAAACTTTCAGAAAAAAGTATTCTCTCTGCGTACACAACAAATCATGTTTTAAGCACCTAAAGTGAAGAGCTCTTTTTTTTTTAAATAAAATTAGTATGTCGAGAAGGGATGTTCGATAGAATCAGTGCCGTCAGAATTGCTTTCGGCGGCGTCTACAAAAGCTGTCGAAAGGTCACCGGCCAGTTTGCTGACGGATCCAGAGGTCACATCATACATGAAGATTTCCTTGTCACCCTGATCGCCGCCGTCTCTCGGCCTGAAAAATCGCGGTTAGTGAAAGCGCGTAGCACTAGCGAATTTCTTGACTTTCAAGTAGATTCGCGGGATAGGCAAACTATCGATAATAATACACGCTTAGAGAATCGTATATGTTAAAGACCTAGTGAAGCAAATATTTGATTAGCATGATACATATGTATAACATAAAAATAAAAAGACAAAATTACGAAAGAATTGAATTCTTGATATAAAATTATAAGATGTTGGATATATTAAAGAATTTAATATATCCATCTTATAATAACAAAAATTTAGAAGCCGTAAATAGATAAATTAATAAAATAAGAATAAATAACAAGTGTTAGAATATTTATTAGATTAGAAAATATTTCATTATATATGCACATTAAAAGGTAGAAATAAAGAAGCTTTTATTTAATCAGTGATGATCCTATTACATCTGAAAGTGTATAAGTGCAATTTTGCCTATTGTAAATCTTTATCTTCAATGTAATGTAATAAATTAATTTTCTACAAAATTAAAAAACAGTCATTGCTTAATATTTATATTGCAATAAAAATCTTGCAACATTTTTAATCAACGTAAAAAGTGTCTTAAAATATTTATGAAAAATGAATTACATAACAATCTACTTGAAACGCTCGTTAAGATAATTGATACTCACATAGTTACGAGAAGCACGACGGATTGCCTCTGCGGCTCGGTGCGGCTCTCCTGCTCGAGCCACTTCTTGTAGTTCTCCGCGGTGGGCTTCTTCACGAGCTGTTTGAGGGTGTCTCCGGCGAGAAATCTGACCGGCTGCGCGTCGCCACTGATCTTTCTACCGTGCCGCTGCGAATCCGTGATCTCCTTCTCCTCGCCGCCGAGAAAGTCGTAGTCGACAGGTGCTAGCACCACGACGCTCGAGATCTTGCGGCCGTTGAGCTCTGGCACGTCTGGTATCGGGAAGGACGCACCGCTCACTTTAAGCGGTAAGTAACGATTGTATTGAAGGGGGTCTCCGGCTCCCACGGTTACCGGCTCGAGCCGGGTCGCGTCGTCCCGTATGTGCTGCTCCGCAACGGCCCGGCCTTGCTCCGTATTCGGATCAAAGCGTACTACTTTCATCTCAACGCCGCCAGGTCGTAAGGTAGCCTGTTCGAACTTAGTCGAGCCGCTCGTAGGGACGGTGGACTTCTTCGACGATGAGTTCCCTCCGCTCGATATACGCTGCGTCGTCTTCGTCACCGGCCTCCTGGCGATCGCTGGCACGGGCTCGCTGCCGGCGGCGATCGCCGTACCGCCTCCGGCGCCGTAGAAATTCGCCAGCGCTTCCGGCGGTAGTTTCTCGATAGGTATGTCGCCAATCTTGTCGTAATCGAGAATCTGTATGTCGGCGTTGCCCAGGATCCCGGAACTCAATAGCTGTTCCCTGATATCATCAGGCACTTCGTCCGGCAGATTGGCGATGTTCTCCTTGATCTTGGCCGCCTTGTTCGGCGAGAGAGTTGTTGGTGCCTCGGTAGTGGTAGTCGTGGTGGTGGTCGTAGTAGTGGTAGTCGTTGTCGTTGTCGGTAGGAATGTTTTAACGGTCGACAGCGAGTTGAACTCTTCAGAAGGGCTAACTGGCGTCGCATAGATCTTCTGCGCGGGATTATTCTGGAATATCGGCCGGCTGCCCCATATAGATTGCGTTTGAGAGGAAGCGATCTGCGGTCGTTGTTCCGACGTCGGACGATTCTGGGAGAAGAAGCTCTGTTGATTATTTTGATAGGTTTGATGTTTCGCGTTTAATTGTTGATGTTGCTGCTGAAGAGTATCGGTCGAGATGAAACGACTCGGTAGATTCCCGGACAGTTGCTCGGGATCGTGAAGAATATTGAGCGGTTGCGCTGAAACAAACTGGTTCTGAGAAATTTCAGGAAACGCAGTTGGTTGGACTATCGTGGGATTTGGTGGGAACGGACCAGGATGTAGCGGATTCTCTCTGATCGAATAATGCTGCTCCAGCTTTGGAACGGCTTTAAAGATTTCGCCTGCCGATCGTTGAGGTTGAAGCTGCGGCTGATTATATTTAAGTTGCGCGCGATAATGTTGTTCTTGAAGGAGCTTTTGCTCCTGTTCCTGCTTCCGCCTACGTTGTTCCTGCAAACGTTGTAGTTCTTGCAATTGTTGTTGTTCTTGGAGACGTTGCTGTTCCTGTAGACGTTGCTGTTCCTGTAGACGTTGCTGTTCCTGTAGCCGTTGTTGTTCTTGCAATCGCTGCTGTTCTTGGAGTCTTTGATGCTCCTGTTGCCTCTGATGTTCCTGCTGCCTCTGCTGCTCTAATAATCTCTGTTGCTCGATTTGTCTTTGTTGCTCCAAAAATCGTTGGTGTTCCTGATGTCGCTGCTGCTCATGTTGTCGTTGATGTTCTCGTTGCTTTAACAGTTCTTGCTGTCGTCGTTGCTCGTGATACCGCTGCTTTTCCAGTTCCTGCTGTTTGAATGGAGGTAGTGATTGTGGTGGGAGTTCAACATTGAAACTATTTGGCCTTGGCAAAGGTTGTTGCGATTCCGAATTAAAGCCTCCAGGTCTAATAGATAGTGGTTGTTGTGGCAGTTGTTGTGGCAGTTGTTGAGGCAATTGTTGAGGCGGTTGTTGAGGCGGTTGTTGGGGCGGTTGTTGAGGCGGTTCCGCAAAGTTATTTTGTGGTAATGGTAATGGTTGATTTTGCAAGTGCACACTCTGATGCGATATCGATAAAGTGGGTGGGAATCCGGGTTGCTGCGGGTGATTGATGTTGACACGATGCGGTGGCGGTCCGAAATTATTAAACGGCGCGCGTTGTTGCACTTCTGGCAAACCCTGAATTGTTATAGGATGCCGCTGCGGCGGTCTCGATGGCGGTGATGATGGATTTCTCAAAGGCTGAGCCGGAAACGCTTGATGATGCGATGGTAGTGGTGGTGATGGTGGCTGCTGCTGCTGTTGTTGCAAGAACGTCGGCGCCTGCTGCTGCTGCTGTAAAAATGTTGGCGGTTGCTGCAGCGCTTGTTGCTGAGGTGGGAACGAGTTAACGATACGTTGTTGTGGAAATGCAGGTGGCACTCGCGGAGGATGCACCACTGGTTGTAGCGGTTGATAGGGACCATGTTGTCTTTTCGGCGATCCCGGAGCTGCCGTCGGTTTGCTAGTATGCTGTTGCGCACTATTGGGCGTTTCCAAATCGCTGCGCTTGCTGTGACTATTGGGTGGTACCTGCTCGGTGCCGAAAGTCACACGGATGCCGCTACCGCCGGAGTGATATACTTCGCTATCAGGTCGAATGATAGCGCGCAAAGTTGTCGATGGTTCCGCAAGTGGCGCCAACGTTGCTGTCTGTGTCGGTTCCTCAGCGTACGGCGCATGATTATCCGATTTAATCTCCTCATGCTCCTCCACTGGCGTCAGCGCGGGAATCGGCGGATCGTAGACGACTCGAGTCTTGTCACCGTAACCTTTTTTCTTCTCGTACTTCACATAAAACACCTGAATAGGTTCCTTAGTTGGTCGTGGTTGAGGTGGAGGCGGTGGTGGTGCTGGAGTCGGCAAAGATTCATTCGATTCTTTAATAATGATCTCAATAATCGGCTCAGGTTCCGTTGGATAGTAACTTAATGGATTCTCCTCGTACAGATCATCACTCTTCGGACTCGCCAAAGGATTATACAGAGGATCCCTTTGAGAGTATTGCACTATCGGTTCCATCTGCACTGCATATGGCGGCAGACGACCGCCCTTTCGCAGGAAGGCGAGTTGCTGACGTTTATCGCGGTTCTTCGATGAGCTCTCCTCCTTGGCGAAAGCCGCGGCGACGAGAAGCGTCGCCGCCAAGAATGCCTAGAAAAAAAACGGCGTATTGAAAAAAATAAATTTATTTAAAATAATTTTATTTCATAATGCTGGCCATATTAATATTTATAAAATTAATATTCATTACAAATATTATTACTTCAAATATGAGAGAAATAAATTTTTCTTTTTTAATGCTAACTCCAAGTTCGATAAAACATTAATAATTTTTTAGCAATAATTCAAGTCTCTGAGAAATAGCATAAAAAATAATTTACATCATTTGCATAGTGACATCTAATAAATCGATGATGTTACTGTTTTAAATCGATTAACATAGCGAGCTAAAATATAAAGAAGGGGGACTTTACGCGCTCTGATAACCGAGTAACCCGTTTAATAACCAGAAAACGTACCCAAGACCTTAACAGGTCTCGGATCGATTGGTATGCTAGCGAGAATCGAGGAACAGTTAGCCTGATAAGCGATTCCCAGTTGTGATCGCGCTCTCGATATAGTGAGGCCGACTTGCGACGTTTCTCGTTTCTTTGAAATCGCTCGGTTCCCAAACTTTTATTACCGAGGAATTGCAGATTTTCGTGTGTTCTATTGATGTAATTATTGACAAGATTAAATGACTTATTTTCTCATTATTTTTTATAATAAATTATATAATAAAGTTTTTATAATAAACTAATTAAAAAATAATTAAATATATATATAATATAATAATTAAATAATTAAATCTAATCAATTTTTTTATCATTCTTCCCCACAATTTCTAAAATATACACTTAATCACGCAAAAGGATATGCTTCAATGTATGCGATTAACTTTATGAAGTCAACCGAAAAGTGGGTGAAGAGAAAGAAAGAGAGAATCAAAGTTCAAGACTGTATGGCGACGCGTTTCACTTCGAGAATTCGGTGCCTCTCTCGGCGCTGGTTAGCATATTCAGAATAAGGTCCTGAGCATCTTTTTTAACACAAGATGCACGCGCATTTCGAAGCCGTATTCGGAGCTGCGAGATTAACTAAAGGAAAGTGGTACCGATGATGAAACATGCCTGTGATTATAAACGGTCAATTATCCGCGCAGAGATTATCGGTCATTTCGTTGTCAGTCTCGTTCGCCGAGTTTTATTAATGCACTTTCCCCGTTTCACGAGCGCCGATACGCTCGCTGATTGCAAATGATAGAACCAAGAGGATCTCGCGCGACACGTTTATTATGATGAAAGTACAAGCGATCTAAGGGGTCCATCCTCGCCCTCCTCGCGAATGCACCCTGTTACAATAATTACCAGCTTAGCGAACCGCATGTTGCAGTCGTTCTTCGTCCCTCTTCCTCGTTTGATCCGTGGAAAGGGTCACGCACTTCTCTCATCGGCCGATTCTCGCGTTAGAGACGGCTGATTCGCGACATGATACCGCTCGAGACGATCGTGCTGGACGATATCGAGCGAAGCCTCGCATGGGAACTGAGGACAGATCAAGCCCAGGGGCCCGTTTCTCCCTACTCGATGCCACCACCACCTTGAGGCCACCGCTCCTCAAGAAGCTCCTCTCTAATATCGAAGACGGTGGAGCAGCACCTTTCTCCGGGGCTCCTCGATGTGCACATGTCTCATTGGTATTTGTGTTCGTGGTACATGCAGACACGTACATAGCTGAAAAGAGGTAGGAAGAGAGAGAAAGATTCGCGCGGTATGGAGTGTATTCTTCTTCACAACGACGACTTTCTTCAAATCCGTCCAATTGCCCATGGAGGGGACGATTATACTAAACGCCATCACGCTCTTCCGCGACCTCCAAGGCCCATCGAAATCGAAACCTGCCTTTCTTTCTTCTCTCGACACGACCGTGCATACCGAGAGTTATTCGGTGAAAGAGCCAGAGTCTCTTTATACCGTCAATTCGAGCGAACACGATTACTTTCCCTATGGGAACCTGCGCTAAGCTGCGACTTCCTCGAGACAGGTGATCGGTTCCGATCCGTTCGATGATTCTTGTCTACAAGAAAGAATACATAAATTCGATTATTAATAAGTCGCACGACGATTCATTATGACACGATTTATTATAATTCTAGACCGTGTTCGGTCTCTGTGATTATCTAAATCGTGTCTGTAATTATATTATCATTAGTATTTTAGCCATTGACTTTCCCTCGTGGATCTTGCTCCTCTCGAATAATAATTGCATTTATATTCATTCTTTTAAATAGTACAAGTACGTTGCAAATGAATTCTCTAAGCGAAAGCAATCTTAATTAATTTTATAGAAATGCAAGAACAGAAATTGTTGCCCCGTTCCTTTTTTATTTTCTACAATAGTGATATTCCATCCTTTCTTTCTCTTTTTAGCGTGTGTTTGTATATGTGCTTTCAAAAAAACTTATTTTTTTATATAAATATATAATTATGTATCATACAAGCCATATTACATATATAAGCATATAATTATAGATTACAATAATTATATATAATTGTATCTTCATATAAAACTAAGTATTACAAATAAAGGAAGGATGGAATATCATGAATATACAACTTTCATAAATAATTATTAGAATGATGACTAAAACGACTCAATTTACGTACTCAGATTCTTCTTCTATAAAAGATTTCGCATGGTGCAAGAGATTATTAGAATCCTGTTACGTCAATATATGACAGATCTGCTCTATAAATTACATGAAATATTTTTCCAGATATGATACGAGAGATACGATCTGAGGTAACTCGTTAAGTCGCAAGAAATAATAGCAGATCGTGTTCGTCATTACGAAAGACGCACATCTAATAGAGCAATTGAACGAGATGACCCGAGGGAGAGCTTGCTTCGATTGCAAAAGTGCTCTGCAAAAGTGACGTAAAGTTCTCGTGTTCGCACTTGCGCAATTGTCTTCGTGTTTCTTGCTTGGCCGATCATCAAAACCAGTATGATTTTCTATCGTTTTGCTGAAGCTCTTCGAAAAATAGTCATCGATCGCTCGGAGGAGAATCGAACATTACGAGACGGATTACGAGAGAGTATCGTGCAATTTCAAAAGCCACGGGAGAAGCCATTCGCTTCGGAGTTAGGTCATTTAATATCGGCATTTATTAATTTTTCGAGTCGATGGTACTGGCGGTGGCGATCAGCCTCTGGCGGACATCCAGACGTCATCGACATCGAGATTGGACATCGCGCGTCCTACTTGCTAACTTTCACTTATATGTACGCTGGCGTAAGAAGATCCGAATAACAGCCGGCAGACTCGAAGATGATAAATACAGAATCCGTCTGAGACAGCGATTCGCGAATCAAAACGATATTTTACGTTGATTTATCGCCACTTTGCTACGAAATGATATCACATTACTGGACACTCTCTTCTCTAACCGAATATTATCTCGTAGGCGAAAACGATTTATCACTTTTCCGCAACATTGTAGAAGCCAAGCAGTAAGATCCTAACTACTTGCAAGTTGTTTTCTCCGTGGATATTTTAAGGAAATCCGCTCTCGAAACATGACAGATACATAACTGTCCAATGTTTGGTCGTAAAATTGATATATTATTTATTTTCCGATATTGTTATAAATATATTTATATAAATAATTTTATATAACTTAAATGTCCCAAAAAATTTTATAAATTTCTATTAGAAATTATTTAAAACAATATAGCTGTATATTATTTATTTTCTTATTTCGATTGAATGAGATATGTAATATGATTTTATTACATTTGCCTTATCTCGAGATTGCATTTGCTTGATCTATAGATCCACGATATCTCGTCGAGATATTATTAAATACAGTATCATTGTACAATAAAAACGCATAGTGATAAAATTACTTTTCCTGAAACGATACTTTCTAACTGGTTTTCTACAATATGATTATCACAATTATCTTTATGCAATTAAATACATTTTTCGACCGACATTAGCTGTAGGAATTTAATAATTTATCGTATATAATATTTACATCTTATGTGCGTTGCACGCATATATTTTATATTATGCTATACAATTATTATATTTGCACATGTATTCACGCACAAAGAGCGTGGAAATTTTCTCGGAACGAGAATTCTCTGTCACGTCATCTCTCTTTCTGCGATTGCAAGACCGATCTCCGTAACTGCTATGGCAAAAGATTGCGCGAATTTGATTTGCCCAGTTCTCATGAAACTAGGGGGACGATATGATTCTTCTACGAGCATAGCTAACTATACATATAATCTTCTTCGAGAGCAGTACCTTCATGTGAGCAATAACGTAACTGTTGAAGAGTGAAAGTACCGTAAAGTGGGACGCCGCGGGAATAACGTTCGCTTTTATAATTAATAAACAAAGCCTACAAACTGCTCTCATCATCATTCTGCAATTCTGCATTCAATGTGACATTTTTTATGAGACCTTGATATCCTCGGTTAATGATCGAGACCTTTTCCACGCTTACTTTTTCAAGAATGTCGCATGATCTTTATGGCAAATAATAATAATCACAAGTTTTATAAACTCGCACAACTCGAATCATGCTAAAAATTTATATTAAATATTAATAAAGAGAAAAAGGTCTTTACGATAACATTATTTTTAAATTTTCAATTTTTTTATATTAAATAAAACACTGATTTAAAAAATATTACATATCGTTAAATTCATTTTGCATTAAAATATAATGTAATATGTATTGTTTTTTCAACTATAAATATTTGAAAATAAATCTTGTAAAGAGAAAGAGAGAAAAAATGTCAAATTAATTAAAAATCATTTTAACATTATATCTTAATAAATTGTTTAACATTATTTAACATTGATATTATTATAAATTATTTAATTATTAGATTATACAACAAATATTATTTTTTTAACTATCATACATATTTATTATCATATATTTATTTTCATTTTATTTATAAAAAAATTCTTTTGTTTTTATTTTCAATTCTAATGTCATACAACGATATATATATCATTTCCTGTAATCCAATTTAATGCACGGTGATTTAATTCATTACGGAAAATTCTCACTAATCTTTTCCAGCGTGAGAAAATTATTTCATAATCTACGGGCATTGCACGCTACGTATGCACAAATCTGAACTAATTAAGAAATGGTGTCGAACCGAAACTAGCACGTGAAGTAATGTACATACTTGTAAGACTTTTATTTCCCTAAAAATATGAAATATTCTGTCGGTCTTTTTAAATCGAATTTAAAATGAAGAAAAGTTTTAACGAGACATTCTAGATATCCACGAGTATCGACTATATATAAACGGAAGATGCATAACTGCGTTATATAATTACATACTTAAAGACGAAAAATTGTCTATAATTGATGTTATGCTCGCTGCACTTTCTATTTCAGCACATTGCACTTCGTATACGTTGCAATGTCGGTGTAGTTTCGTCGGAAATTCATTTCCTTTTATTTTTTTTTAATTGATTAAAAATGTTATATCAATTTCCTAAACATCTCTCTCAATGTTTTATCACTATTAATTTAAATAAATCATAAAGAGCATAATGAATAATAAGTATCAACTTTCTCCTCGGCTAAATTACTTATGCTAGCAGTGATGTGTTTTTATTAGTGAGGGGACCCTAACTTTTTAAATTGTATGTGGACGGGACTGTTCTTTATTTTTACGAGACTAGAATAAATCGCGAAATGATTTTACACATTAGAATTTATTTACTATTAATGCATAAACTGTTTATGTAAAAAATACAAAATAATATATGTAAAAAAAATTTATACATATACATATACTATATTTTTTATTTCATATGAAATAAATTTCTGTAGTCACTTTTGTGATGGATTAGATAATGTGACTTTGTCATAAAATTTTAAATAACAATAAATAAAAAATTATTATACAATATATAATATAAAAATTTTAATATGTGAATAAAAATTTGCATATCAGAATTCCACAAGTAAAATGAATTTATAAAAAAAGTAACAGAGACGATAATTATTTGATAAATAAATAGATAACATAAGCCAAATAAACTTTGAAAAACATGGGCTAACCTGCGCATCGGGACAATTCGATACACGAACTTTGCACCGTTCATCTCGACACAATGGCTGGCCCCGTGGATACGTGCACATGTGGAACTTGCTGCAAAGTTCGCGTAACAATCCAACAAATCTTCAATGTACTAGACATATACGGCTGGTTATTGGACTCGTATGTCGTGGTATGTAACTCAATTAACTATTAGCTTCGGCATCCATTCCGTATTTTGATTTTCCGGACGATATTTCTCTTTCGAGCTTAATCGCGTACATGTAAACATCGTCGTGTAAACGCATGACATACATACATTTCGTACCCATCTCTCCTCTATTTGAATATATCCTTCAAAAATGAATTATTAACGTGGAAAAATTCGTCCTGCAGGACTTCTTCCAGGAACAATTATGGGAAAAGCTGCCGAATAGCTGGAAGATCTTTCTGCAAACTGTATCGCCCGAAGAGTTCGGGAAATGGTTAGCTAATGACATCTCGTGGTAAGTTAAGTGTGCATTTCACTTGGGTCGATAACGCGCGACAGGGATATTCGATAAAGTCGATGATTTATTACGGTACGGATTACATTTCTGCAAAAAGATGTTTGTTAAATATACGTCGATTGATTATTGAACGGAGAATTCCGAGAATCTCGACAGGGATTCTGGGAATTCTCTACTCGATAGCCAATTCAACAAATGTCATAGATCAGCTGTTTGTAGATTGCTAGTATATGTATTAAATGATTCATATTTTTATATGTCCATTGACATCAGATGTCAATGGTTCATTCAATTTTACGTCACATCGATTCATAAAACAGAATGCAGTTTTTGTCGAACATTTCGATTGGCTATCGGATGATGGATTTTCAGGGGTCTTGTAATGCGATACATATTTATTTTACTAATGCATAATGTAATTCGATAATATAATTCATCTCATAGCAAACGCGTATGGCCACTGTCATTGCTTGCACTTCGGCAGATAACAAAGGATTTACAACTAGACAGAGATCATCGAAATGATGGAAGCACCTTGCGATGCAGAGCAAAAAAATTCGAATGCAATTCGGAGAATTTTATCGTGGAAAATAAGAATGAAAGATCACACGAGATACACGTTGCTTTGAAGAAACATAATAATCTCTTTCTGAAACATGTTAAGAAAAAAAAACGATACGAGATACAACAGATAGCACAGGTACGATTAAATAAATTCTTTTAATAATTTAGATTGGATATAAATTATTTGTAGACTCTCTACAACAGTTTATTTACATAGATATGTGCAGATTGTGCACAAGAGTCCAAGACAAGATGTATTGTTGATATTGGAGCAGGAATGGGTCATTTAGCTCGGTCCTTAGCATTTAAACATGGTTTATGCGTAATATGCATTGAACAAGATACAGAATTGTCACAGCAAGCAAGGTAATCTAATATTTTTTAATAGCTTCTTTAATTATTTTTAGCAATTTTTGTTAATATTTTATTGATATTATTATTATTCTTCATAATAATTTATTTAACAACTTTTTATTGACAGAAAATGGGATAAAGAATTATTAATATCCTTATCTAAACATTTGCCTGCTTTGTCAGCCAATCGTCCACAACATGTATCAATCAAACTTGAAAATACCAATTCTAATCGATCAAAGACAACCGATGATATGCAAAAAATATTTTCCAATGATTTTAATCTAAGTGAAAAAAGATCTGGGTTTGGAATTGTGGGATTACATCCATGTGGAGATCTTGCAGCTACATTATTGAAACTTTATACATCTCAATGTGAAACAAGATTTATTTGTATCGTCGGGTGTTGTTATATGAAATTAACATTAAAGTATGTCTATGAGATACTAGAAAATATATTTTTGTAATTATAATTATGCTAAATAATAAATAAAATATTTAGATATCCAGTGAGCGCATTAAGTGGATATCCACTAAGTAAATATCTGTCATCATTTGCAAATTACAAGTTATCTTATACGGCATTAGAAGTAGCATGTCATGCTATTGAGAGTTACTGTGATAAACTTAAAACTGGGAATTATGAAGATTTAATAGTTAAGTATTTAATAGTTAAGATTTAATAGTTAAGTATTATATATTCTGAAATATATCATAGAGCTGTTATCATTAAATTATGTTTTAGGTACATGCTTATAGAGCTATTTTGGAAACTATCTTAATAAAACGAGACAGTCAGTTACGTCATTCTCAAGTAAAGAATGTCAAAGTGACAAAATCTATGACGCTTAAACAGTTGAGTGAAATGGATTTAATGTTTATACTAGTGTAATTGAACATGTACATATCATTATAATATTAAATATGCTTGTATTATTACAGATATTGCGCACTTGCGACTGCAAATTTTGAGGAGCATCTCCGACCTAAAGATTCGGATTTCCAGAATTTGCAAGTAAAGTTTTACTTAAGTCGATGGCAACACATTGTAATATTTGGCGCATTACGTACGATGTTAGCTCCATTAGTGGAAACTATAGTTTTATTGGACAGATTCTTATATTTATCAGAAAATCAGTTATGCCCAATATTAAAACCTATCTTTGATGCAAGATTGTCCCCTCGAAATTTCTTACTATTTTCAATGAAAAATATCGAGCAAACACTCTTTTAATTATATTTGAATCTTTCTTTTCTTTGTGAGTATAAAATTGAAAAAATATTGCAAAAATTAAATTTATCTTTATATTTCATGTTTCTTTCTCTTTTTATGAAATTAAATATTTCATATTTTCATAGTTTTGTGTATAATTAAATGTTCTAAAATTCTATTTTGTACTTAATTTAATTTGAAGAATATACTTGTTACATAAATTCGATCAAAATATAATTACATATAATTTGAAGTAATATTTGTACGTAAAAAAATCGTATATATATCAAAATTTTAAAAGTTAAACTAATCATGTTTTTTGTTATGAAATTAAATATTTTGTTTCCGTAATTTTATATATAATTAAACGTTATATTTTCACAATTTAATTCGAAAGTAAGAATAATGTTTTTCGTACAAATTCGTTGAAAATATAATTACAAAATATGATTTCGAGTAATATCTATCATAAGAATCATATACATACCAACCACAAAACTTCGCTCTAAAAATTAGACTAATTAATTTGATTCTGCTTTCGCGCCTGAATATACAAACTTCGACACGCGTTCGATTAATTCCATATTCAGTAAATAAACAGATTAGACTCCAATCTCGAGAAACGCAATCGTACGATACGCCCGCGTAATTCTCTCATGAAAACCGCTGTAATCGTAAAGCTCCAATAGAAACACGGGGGCACACGTCGCGCGCGCGACCGACGGACCAATCGGAACGCGATACGCGGGGCAAAAGCTGCGCGCGCGCAGCTGTCAACGGCTCGAGGACCGCAAATGTTTCGCGGCGCCACCAGTAGAGCGCGCCGCGCTAGCCCGGTCGTCAGTTCGCACGAAGCGTTGACGTTCGTCCGGCGAGATCTAGGCACAGTTTCCCTTAAGCCGCTCTCGCGCGTTTGTCTGTTCTCGTCGCGTCGTGCATCCTACCGATTATTATTTTCTCCTCCTTTCCCCTCCCCCGTTCGCGCGCACGAGATCGTCGGCACGGTGTGGAAGAAAGAAAATTTCGAGCGGTATACACAATACCCTCGTGTCGTCGTCGTCGTCGTCGTCGTCGCAGTCGCCGCCGTCGTCGTCATCGTCGCCGTAGTTTGTCGTTCGTCATCGTCGTTGTTGTCGCAACGCCTAGTGCTCCAATTCAAACGCGTCGCCCGCTATTCAACGGAGGATGGCATTCAACGGAGACGGCCCGCACTCGAAAAGGCAGCGACTCGAGGAATCCGGACATAGGGTGAGTGCCCGCCAATTATCATCGTGCAGCCGTACGCCGTACGTGCCCTTCGCGTTATCCTGTCTCGCGTCGAGCCGCTCGCTCGCGGGACGAAGCGGACGCGCTCGCGCGACGCGAGGGGGGCCGCCGCGTCGCCATTTATCGGTGTAATAATCATGGTGAGCGTGTCCCGAGTACGCCAGATTTCTGAGCGACGCGCGGGGCGCCATTTATCCGCGATTCCGATGCACGCTCTATGCGTGTGTGTATGTATGCACGTATAGGCATGTCCATCGCGTCGCCCGCCGGTTTGCTCGCTCCCGATAACAATGGCGGGAAAGGGGGGAGGGGAGAAGAGAGATGCATATTCGCCACCATTCACGACAGTCGAGCAGCGAACCGACGCGATTGACATGTCGATCGTTTGTCTAATCGTCGTCGCTCCGCTCGTCATAATCATTTTGCAAATATCGTAAAAATGTTCTCCCCCCCCCCCTCCTCTCTTACGGTGAAAAGATTATAATATGAATCGATTCGTGTAAGATTGTTTGTCGATCTTTTCTGGATATTTCCGCGAATTTTAATCAGATGTTATCATACATGACATCGCAAGGAAGTTATATCGGTCTAAATTGGCGAGAAATTTTGTACGAATGTTATCTCTTTGTTTTTCCACTCTCAGATGGGAATTATATAATCGATTCGTAAATTATTAAAATAATATTTATATATTAATATAATTTATATATTTATATATTAATATTTATATATTTATAAATTAATATTTTTCTAGCTTGCGATATATATTTTTTATACGTAATACGTGAATAGATGATCTAGTGTTTTTATTGATTTTCATTTTAAGTAGAAGCAAATAAAAAATTAAATTTTTAGAAAATTAAAAGAATATATATAATCTCTAAAATATTTTTTTAATATCGCAAATATTGCAATTTTGAAAGACATTATAATAAAAAAACAATTTGGCACAACTTTGATAAAAGTTCAAATGTAATCAAAAACAGCAATCAGAAAGTAAAATCAACTTTTGCACGCTAACGTTGCTAATCGAGAGATATTTTATTCAATTTTTATCTTATCTAAAAGATATGCAAAGCGTCCCAGATTTGCTCTCTCTCTATCTATTTATAAATTCTTTTACAAATCTAAAAATAAGTTTCTCTCAATAATTTTTTCAATATTAATAATTTTTTAAATAATAAGTGAAAATAAAAAAAGCAATATATTGAGAAATACAAGAACAATACATTTTTTGGAAAGTTGCAGCACTTTACATATAAATGAATAACAAGATTTTATTCTTTTATTAATTTACATTAATTATCAAAAGCTTTAATATTGTCAAAATATTTTTTTAAAACTAAATATTAAAAAATTGTGAAAAATAGCAACTAAATTTTTTTTATTATTTAACTGTCAACCGACTTCGAAAAAAATTCATAGATTTATTCATTATATGTGTAGAAGGAAAGGAGAACAGCTTATGTAATATAATTTAAAATGATAATTACATTTTCTTATATTGCATATTTTATACATAATCTCAATTTAAAATTACCTATTATACGTGAGACGAGAAAATAGTGTATATTGAACATACAGTTTAATTCTCGCAGATTGAAAAGTTAATTATACTCATATTTGTTAAATTACGATAATTTCAATTATGTTTTATTCATTTGGATATCATGTGAAATGTTTAATTGCATCTTATTTATTCTTCTATTTTGTACAACTAATGGATAGCATAAATTATGTTTATTTTAACGCTTTGTTTGATAAAAATTTCGAAAATATATTTAAGTATATTTAAGTTTTAGTTTTAAGACATAAATATTCTACTATTTTTCCATATATTTAATATTAATTTAGAAAACTTTAGGAAAAATTGATAAAAGTTATACTAATCATTATCTAAAAAGATATAACGATAAAAAATTGTTAAAATATTAGATATAAGAAACAAAACTTGTCAACAAAATTTATTGGCAATTCAAGCTTAACATTTCAATTCCATCCCAGCAGTGAAATAACGTGAGCGGCACGAATATCACGAATCCGAACTGAAATTGAATTTCATATTAATTATCTAATCATATTACATTATCTTTATCCTAAATAGCTGAAATTGTTTGGCACGCGTAATAGAATCTCAGTATTAAGGCTCGCGACGGCAACCTGTTATCCGGAAGACCACGTCAGCAGGTGCGTTATCGTTTTTCGCAAAATGAGCAACGCGAGGATGATGCACGTACAAAACAAAGCTCGCGCGCGCGCGAGCGCGCTTCGTGATCGATAATTTCGCACGCGTTATCAGCGCGCGATGCACGGCATTGGCGACGGACGTTCCCTCGAGATAACCGCAACGTATCGACGAAGATACCGTCGGATATAACGGGTAGGAGAATTTCCGATTTATTTCCGCCCCCGCAAAATTCTTACGCATGGACGACGCTGCTGCGCAGAAAATTCGTCCTTCATAATTTATCTTTTTTTTTTTGCCTCGACACTTCATGTTTCTCTTTCCGTTCGTTTTATATGCCTCTCCGCCTCTCGCGTACACTCTATACAATTACTGTTCTTTGCTGTACTTCCGGTTTATCGCGCGCTTTGAATATGTATGTGTCGGGTCACGCGAAACGCGCGCGAATATCAAAAGAAACCTTTTCATCGCGATGCAACTCCGTCCCCGTTGAGTTTAGAATGCATCCGGGTTACTGCTATTTATCAATACAGCAACTGGTCGCCTGGGTAATATCGAGTCGAGTCGAGTTCAAATGATTCGATTGTGCTTACGCATAAATCGACTTTTATTCGCACTGTTACTATACGAGGTCGATGGACCTTTTACGTCAGAACCCGCTTTACGTCAGATGCAGCGAGATACCCACGCATTTAATCTCGCAGAATAAGCCGCAGATTAATAATTAATACCGTAGGTATGTTAAATAAAATACGTAAAAAATAAATATTATTGTGAAACAAAAATTCGGTTGTGTCATGTTTAGAAGATTATCGTATATTTCATGTCGAGGATTTTATCGAGGCAAAAAGAAACATTTTCAAATATAATAAAATATTGTTTCTATTTTAATACGAAAATTATTATTAATAATCAATTTTTAAACTCAATAACTCAATTCTTATTTTATTCGCAGTTTGTTTTTTGTAGGGTTTTCTAAAGAAAGATATACATTAATTGTAAATTAAAATACTATTACATAGTTTATTATGCAAACAAAATTGGTTATAGAGAAGCTTAAGATAATATACAGTTTGCCATAATTTAACTTTAATATAAAGATATCATAACGTTAGCGTATATCCGTAGGATTACGAACTTGCAAATGTGTTGGACCACTAATTTCCTGGTGGATATATACCCAAAGGGATCAACAAATATGTATATCTGCAAACTATTCATCTATTTGAAGTATTTTCCACGAAACTATTATACCTTATATAATTTCTCGCTTACATTTTTTTATAGAATTATGTATCTTTAATTATATATCTTTTTCTAAATATAATTCCAAGTGAACATTAAAAATATAAGACGTAATTATCATGTTATTAAAAATATATTTTAGATAATATTCCATATATGTTAAATATAAACCATATTTCACTATTAGAAATTATATAAGGCTTACTCTTAATTATTATAAATTAATATTTGTCTCTAAAAATAAATTTCATCGGTTGAGAATCTCGAAATGAATCTCGCACAAAGATGACAATCCGTTGTAATACAAGATATTTTTTATTGATGCATTATTATCGGTCAGTGTCTCGATCATAAATCGATGTCTATAATTTGCGCCTAACAATTAGGGTTATTATCGTAATGATTACTATCTCGACCTTCTCTGTCGCTGTCGATGCATCAGTCGTTGCAAACATTGAACAAGATGCATTTTACATTATGCATACATATGTCGACTGATATTTGAGTACCATTATTTGCGCATCAGTACATCCTGATTCATGACTTTCCAATCGTATAGCTCTATCTAACTTTTATTTGTAATTTTCGATTTCATTTAATAATATATATTTTTTATTAAACATTTAATAAATATTTAATAAAAAAAATTTTTAAGTATTTAAAAGAGTTATTTCTAAATGTTTTTGATAAATAAAAAAGAATATTATAGAATCTAGAATAATCACTAATTTTTAATAATATCATAAATCATTATAATTAGTTTTTGAATCTATTTGAAAAACGCTTTGAGAATTGTCTGAATTAAATCGGATTCTATCAAATGGTTTGGAAATGTGAAAAGAAACGAATATTCTTGAGTATCGTACCCTACACTGCTTATTAATATTTCATCTTGCTTGATATCGTTCGATATGTAGGTCGACATTCCATAGGTATGCTTGAATAATTTATCATATAATTTAAAAAATAAAAAGAATGATTCCTCAGGAAAACAAGATTGCATGATTGCATCGAAAAAGATTAGTGTCTTTTCTCCCTGTCACCTGTTATTTTCCTTGACTTTAAAAAAATTTTTCTCATTTAATATTCTTATATTTAAATATTTATGTATCTTGCTCTAATAAATATCTGTTATCTCGATAAAAGAAAATTTCTCTTTTCAAAAATATAATATCAACGCGATGAATTCTTCATCTTTCTATCTTACTTTATATCCATTTGAAAAAAGAATAGTGAATAAATATTTGCCACGATATCATTCTTCTTTCGCATACTCACGGGAGAAGATTTAACGTCGATCGTTCCTTGCGGGACACACGGAAACTCGCACTGTTAGCACAATCGGACGAAAGTAGATCGTGAAAGCAAATTTGCTTGCTCGAGAGCTTGAACTTTGACGCAAACTTTCTAGATGGCAAATCGATTTTGTTGTTTAAATTCGCATGCGTGTTATACATCATTTTAATCTTTAACCTGACATAAAATATTATATAACGCATCAAGCTTTTAGTGTTTTTTTAAATATCTTTTTTTCATAATAATAATTTTAATA